GCTGACGTGAGCCAATCAGGAGGGCCTCAGTTTTGCACACGTTGAGCTGAAGAAAGTTATCTCTCGTCCAGGACTCGATGTCGGACAGGCAGCTGTCAGGACATCGGTGGTCGTGGAGTTGAGGGTAGAGGAGGAAAGGTAGAGTTGGGTGTCATCCGCATACATGTGGAAGTTAACCCCATGTCTGCGGATGATGTCACCAAGGGGGAGCATATAGAGGGTGAAGAGGAGGGGACCGAGGACAGAGCCTGAGGGACACCGCACGAGACAGTGCGGGGGCCGGAGGAAAAACCATTTGTGGAGACAAAGTGAAGACGGTGGGAGAGGTACGACCTAAACCACTCAAGGACAGGGCCTTGAAGGTTTAGGTGGGAGGACAAGCGGTGGAGGAGGATAGCGTGGTCGACCGTATCGAATGCTGCCGATAGGTCGAGGAGGACGAGGAGGCAGAGGGAGCCCTGGTCACAGATGGTCAGGATGTCATTGGTGACCTTGACCAGGGCAGTTTCTGTGCTATGGGCAGCACGGAAACCCGACTGAAGGGGTTCGAATAGTGAATGGTTGGAGAGGAAAGAGCGCAGCTGGGAGGCGACAACTCGTTCCAGGACCTTGGATAGGAAGGGGAGGTTGGAGATGGGCCGGTAGCTTGATAGGCTTTTTTTAAGGTGGGAGTGATGGTGGCAGTTTTTAAGGGAATGGGAATAGAGCCAGAGGAGAGGGACAGGTTGACGATGTCTGTGATATGTGGGGCAAGGAGGTGGAGCTGGGAGATAAGGAGTGGAGTGGGGATGGGGTCAAGGGAGCAGGTGGTGGTTTCAGGGAGAGGATGAGTTTGGTGACAGAGGATGGGGAAACGGGTACGAAGGTGTGTAGGGGAGGATGGGTAGGAGTCGGAGTGTGGGAGGGAAGGGGTGGGGGGTGGGTGGATGTTGGAGGGGAAGTGACCGCGGAGCAGATTCCCTTGATCTTGGATTCAAGGAAATCCAGCATCTCCTCGCAGTGAAGGTTGGAGGAGATATCCTGCGCGAGGTGGCGGTGGGGACGGAGGAGTTGGGATGTGGTAGAGAACAGTAGCCTGGGGTTGTCCTTCGCCTCCAGGATTATCCAAGACTCTCCCTACCTTCTCTTCGACCGTGCCTTTGGTCTCCCTCCCACCTCTCTGCCTTCCCTCACCCCTACACCACCCCTCCCCCATGTTCGGTCCCCGACACCTGACTGTTCAGCGCTTTGGGACGTCCTCCCAACGTGAAAGGCGCTCGAAAAGTGTCATTTTGTTGTTGTTAATCTCACCATTAATTCCTGAATTTAAAGACACAAATCCTAAAGCAATCTTTACGATTGGATCAAATGACAATTGACTAATTCACCTTTTGGTGTTCCAATATGGATAATAATAATAATCCTTGCATTTGATATAGAGCCTTGATCAAATTAGACTCATTTTGAGACTTTTAACTCACTCACCAGTTATTTCATCCTTTTTCCTCCTACTCCTTCTCCAGCCTAATTGTATTACGTCAATTTAGTTCCACCCCTTTGTCTAGCGAATACGACATATTATTATAATCTTTGATTGAAGTTTAAAGTAATTTACTCATCTTGGTTTCTTCTGCCTCTCAATGTTCTAGATGTTTCACCATCATCTCCAACCTCTCTGATCTTCTACCCTTCTTCCACTTGTCCCTTCCCCTCAGCTAACTCGGGCTTGCTGAGGATCACCTACCCTCTGCACTGCATCATCAGTGGCAGAGTCATCAGTTCATATGTCCCAAACCTCTGGAACTCCCTCCCTTTACCACTTTGATTTGTCTTTCTGTCTTTAAATTCTGCTTCAAAACCTCTTTCAACCTCTCTCTGACCATCTCCTTACTTACTTATCTGACTTACTGCCTTACTTGGTGTCCAGCCCCAACCCCGTAAATTGCTCTAAAGCATTATCCTAAGCGAAGGGCGCTATATACATGCTAATTTTTGTTAATCCAAGACATTATCCTACCAATGTGACTGGCTCTAATATAAATGCAAGTTGTGTTGATGTGGAAGCAACTTGGAAATTGGTCTGTGGGGCTGACCGAAATCCAGCAACAAAGATTCTCCTTTTTGCAGCCAAATTAGATGGCAAAAATCTAAAGATTAATCAATGCTTGTGACATCCAGAATAAAGCAGGAAGCAGTTTGACGAATGAGCTTGATGGTCTTCGGAAGCAGAACGTGACTGGAGAAGCAAACTGTTGGCATAAATGAATACATTAAGCAAACCAATTACCACTACCAGGGCAGAGACAGCTGCAGTGCTGATGGTAACCCCTCTCCTTGACCGCACAGTAAATCCTCACCCTTGGAACGTCAGTACTGGGAGCAATGTACTTTCAAGTCACTATTTCATACTGTTTTTTTCCTTACATTTGAAACCGATGATGAGCAAAATCCTAAACTCATTGATAAGAACAAAGTAGGCCTCAGTAAATGGCAAGTTTTCGCTGTATGTGCAAATATCCAGTCATTGGAAAATGTTGATCTTGGATCTTTACAAATCATATTAATCGAAGGGTAGAAAAAAAATGAAGATTCAATGAGTTTGCAATATAGCTTCTGTACAATGGTTGGGCCTGAGATACAAATTTCGGTTAGGTAAGGATATATTTTTTGTTAGACAAGGGTATAAAGGAATAGGGAGCGAGGGCGGGTAATTGGAGTTGAGGTACAAATCAGCCGTGAACTTATAGAATGGCGGAACAGGCTCGAGGGGCTGAATGGCCCAAAGCTGTTGCTATGTTCCCATATTCGGATCTGTGCATCAGATGGCAGATGCTCAATTCAAATTGATTTAAAATCGATGTTCCTTTTGGTAGCAAAGAAGTTCCTGTTTGCCCCCAGCCCAATCCCACCACCACCATCTGATACAGAGCAGAACAATACAGGAAGACTTGACTTCATGGCTGTTTGTGGGTCATTGCTGCATGCAAACTAGCTGCCAGATTTCACCCACAAACATACAGCCCAAACCACTTGACATTATATGTCCTGAAGCGCCTTGAGACATCATGACAACGTGATAAGGCGCTATATCAAATGCAAGGATTATTATTATTATTCTATAATGAAGCTATTCTGAATGAGTGGGCTTGGTTATGATGGACCAGTATTTTTGTTATCTTTATTCTGAGTAGAAAGTTCAGGACAGTATTAAAATCTAATTTTGTGTCTGAATTGCTCACTTTTATATTCATGAGATACCTGCATCACAAGTGTTAATTTCTGAAGCGCCTGCCTGCAGGATTTTTTTNGGCGGGGGGTGGGGGAGAATTGGAAAAAAGAGGCTTATAAAGCTTTGATAAAATGATTATGCTAATATGCAAGAGTCTTTTGGACTTCCTTCCCAGATCAGCTGAATGGATGTTGAGCCTTCTTTTAATGGCACTGAACATTTTTTTTTTGAACATTTATCCCTCTATTATGATTGAGCCACTATTTTTTGGATGAGGCAACACATACATCTATTTGACAGGTTCACAGTGAAGGGCTGCCCGATACTTACTTGACTGGGAAAACAGACAATTTGACCTTGCAAAACAGTATCCATTTTAACTCTCATACGCTCATTGCATTTTTGAAGATACACAATTCAGCATTCAAATTAGCACTGGCATTTGTGTATTTTTCTCCTCTAGTTTTTTTTAAATTGGAATTATGATAGATGTACTCTGTCTAAAACTACTGTAGTCAGTTGCTAATAACATTTTATTTATGGAAACCATTACAACACAATATACATTTAAATTTTGCTGAATTGGTTTTGCTACAGTGCAGATGTTTTAGCTCAGAATATTGATAGCAGTTTAAAACACAGCAACTCCCAATGTGATCTATAATTCATAAGTGTTTTTTGAAGCAGATACTATTTCACCACCACATAACCAGAAGTGATTTAAGAGATCTACAGCTACATTATGAATGGATGTTTCTTAAAACAGTTTGTGGAGCAAGCAACAAATATAAACAAGGGACCAAAACTGTAAAGCAGACAAGTGGAACCCATACATATGTGCCACTCTCAGTGAATCGGTTTGGATACTCCTAAGCATGGTAATGTGCTTCCATGTACGTGAGAAACAAGGCTAAACCAACATTTAAGAATATGTCCATTTTGACCCTAGTGAGGAACATGCAATTTGGGTGATGAAACAGGCAAAATGTGGGTTAGAATTAGATTTGTCCTTTTTAATCATTTTTTAAAGTTTTTTTTTAGTTAATTTTATTTTACTGAGCACCGCAAAAACATAAAAAAGGGTTTAAATACTATTGTATAAGCATGTAGTTTACCTCTCATTTGTGTGGTGCCATTTACTGCGATGATAACTAAACATTATAGACATGCTTTCAAGCTCACGGGCTAAATTAATTCAGTCCAGGTTTACTTGATTTATTGTACTTACTATGTTGCGATTGATAGTTAAAATAATGTTTGAGATTAAAAGTGTTTCAAACTGATGGTGTGGGAGTAGGTACCACTCTCATGATTGGTGAGCATGTGGTGGAACACTCTCCTAGATATCAGACTCCAGTTTTGCTGTTCAGTAAAGGCAATGGCATAGAAAGGAAAGTAGGATGAAAGATCTTGAGGAGTTAACATGAAAAGTTCTAGGAATGAGAGAAAAGAGAAACTGAGTAGGAGTACAATTTGAATTCCAAAGTAATTGAATCCAGACTGGGGTTTTGTAGGATTAAGCAATGAGATTCTCCAAAGGAAAAAAATATTCATTGTTTTTCTCAAATCATCCTGTATGTGGCACCTGAACATCCATATACACCTTCTTCTTTAGTGTGGAACATACATTGATCACAAGGTGAACACAGATTTGCAATTTATGAGGATAAACAAATCTTAGCTGTAGCTTTTGTGATGACTAACTCCATTATGAAAAACAAACATTAGCTCTAACACATCCCCCAAAAGCTCAATGTTGTCTTTAAAAACGTACTACAGTGGAATTCAAGGCAACAGAGATCCATCTACTTTATTTCAGCTACATTCAAACGCAGTTTTAAACAAGTTATGTTTGGAAAAGGTTCAGTGGTTGCGAAGTAATCTTATTAAGATAGACCATTTGACAAACATTCACAAGCTTTAAAGCACCAAGCCAATGTTGGACTTCTTACAATAAAATCCTCCGACAGCCCAGGATTAGTCAGATAATTCTCTCAATCACCACAGACGATGCAGCATTCATTCAAAGTGCATCCTCACTTCTTCAGCTCACTCAGTCCACTGCCAGGCCCTCGGCGTTTGGCACTGCATATGTTACAAAACTGCACACAAAAAATAATAAGTCATTAGTATCATTACACAGCCATTGGAAGGAGTGTGTGGGGAATAGGGGGTAAGTTACACTGATCACTTTATAGACCAAGAAATAAGGAGTTAAATTTGTGGCATATTTTGCCATCACATTGATAGTCACGGAGGAGTGGACCCTCTTTCTCTTCTCCCCGCCCATACTCATGACAATGTTGTTAATGGTAAAGTGTAAGAAGCTGATATCTCGCAAACTGGCAATCAAAGACCACAGTCCACAGGATCAACACTGCAGACTCTGCTTCACCAACTTGACCATTGACAGCAGTGTTGGTGGTGGGTTATATAACAGATACTTACACACACAACTTTTACATAGACATGCTTGAGAGGAGATCCCTATGGATGCTCATGGTGTGCCTACACAAATCATTGTGCGATCTCAATTAGGGCATCAACGCGTTCCTAACCTCTGGAACTCTCTCCCACTCTCTCTCTCTCTCTCTCTTTAAATCCTGCCTTAATACCCATTTGTTTGACCATGCCTATAGCTCCCCCCTTCCCTGTTTGTCATCTCAGCATCCCATCTTTGTAAAGTACTTGAGACATTATTGTACATAAAAGGCCACTATGTAAATGCAAGTTAGCGTTAATATTTGGCATCAGCAACATCTGGTATTTCCATGATTCCTTGCATATAATTCATCACCGAACTGCTCTACTAAACTATTTTAGATGCACGTCAGCAATTAAAACGGTCTCATCCCTCTGAAGTCAACAGCATTTCTTGGGTCATATTCTTTCTCCTCGTTTTTTAGATGGGAAAGAAATCTGGGAATCATTAGCCACAGCAGCAGTGTACGTGTTAGTTTCCATTTGTGGGAGTATCTGGTGCGCCTGCATATTATATAGGGAATTTACACATAGGGTAAAAAACAGATATCATGTGATGAACACTTTAAGAGAGTCTTAAAGGGGCAGGGGCTTTAAAAAAACACACTGTCAAACATCACAACAAAGGAGTTGCACTCATCAGCATTTACCTAATGCCAAATGCGCCAATGTTTGCTTTCTCCCCATCCCCAAATTAGTAAATTGCCAAATGTTGCAATCTGAGATCAGATGGAATATATTAACAAAAGCGGAATATAATGTCCACTACAAAAGCACTACATATGGTCACATCAATCATGGAAGATACTGACACCAAATTAATTCTAATACTTGACAACTTACCATGCCAGGTGTGGGAAGGCATTCTTTGTGAAACATGTGCCTGCAGTGGAAAACTACCACACTGAACATCTTGGCAACATCTGAAATGAGAAGAACAGGTTCTGTAGTGAATGGAACTAACACTCGGAAGGAAAAACACGAATTCCAGCAACATTCAGAAAAGGTCAGACTTAATGGAGAAACAGAAATGCTTGATCTTTGCACATACCACGAACACCGCACACAAACTATTCCAGGGCAAACTTTACTCTCACCCACCAGCTCCTGGGAGAAACTGCACCAGAAAAAACCCAAAAGCATTCATCCACACAACACACAAGTCACTGCTCTTTGTGGTATAGGCACCATACCAAATGTACCTATAATTCAAATTTGACCTGCTGCCCTCTACAGACAAGTGGGCAGACATCTTCCCAGAATCAATATGTGTCAACATATTCCAGACTGTGCAATTAGCATACAGCAGATTTCCAGAATTCAGTTTTTCTTCTTTAAGTATGGATTTCATGAGAGATTTCCTGCTGAAGAGACTGTATCCCCTCTCAATAGAAATTTATGGTACAGAAGACCACCATTTAGCCCATAGTGTCTGTGCTGCTTCTCTCAAGAGCATTCCTTTCAGTCCCATTTCCCTGCCCTTTCCCCATTTCTCTGAAGCTGTTTTTCTTTATATAAAAGGGATTTGTCCAGTTCCTTCTTGAAGGCCAATATGGATTCTGCTTCAAGCGCTGCTCCCAGCAGGGCATTCCATATCCTAACTACTCTTTGCATGAAAACATTTCTCCTATCCTCCCCAATTGCTTGTTTACTAACCCTCTTAAATTGATGCCCTCTAGTTACTGACTCATTAGGCAAACCATTCATCCTTTTATCATTTCACCCTCAACCTTCTTTGTTCCAGCAAGGTCTGGTTCCTCTGGTCTCCGCTCACAGCCATACCACTCATCCCTTGTATCATCTCAGTAAATCTCCTTGCATCCTCTCTAAGACCTTGACATATTTCCTAAAGTGGGGTGACCAATACTGGAAACAATATTCTAACTGTGGTCTAGCTAACGACTTATATACGGTTATATTACCTCTTCGCTTTTTATATTCTATTTATAAAACCTGAATGACAGTTACTACCCATCATTGAGTTCAGGTCTTTCATCAGATGTGTCACCTCCCATCCCACCAAGAGTCAACATGAACTCCCCTCAACATGAAAGAACTAAAGCATTGTTAGACTGTCACCAAAGCTGTCAGATGGCAGCAAATCCGAACTTCACCAGCGCCACCTGATGGGAGAAAACCAGGTTGGGTCAACCCACATCAGCTGTTTCTTTGTGTGTCTGGGTGCAGATCTCACATGAGATGCATGACATTTGCACAAGGTTCAGACAACTAACTGTTCAAAGTCCCCGATCAGTTGATGTCTACAAGTCTTTGTTGACTCCGAATGCAACTCACCGGCAGGCAGAATGGGAGCGTGGCAGGATTCACAAATGTTCTCTTCTGCAAGAAAAACAAAACAGTGATTACATTTTTCTGGCAAAACATGGCTTTTGCCTCCACAAAAGGATGTTCAGCAGTTCATAGCAGTCATGTCAAAACACTAGTGGAAACATTCCCAGCAGGGAAGCAAATTGAGGGAAATGAGTATCAAAATAGTGGCCTGCAAAAATCCAAAAGTTGCTGCCTTTTTGATTACCCTTTTACACCTGCCCAAGTCAAGAGGCTCCAGCTGTGGCTGGCTCCCAAACTGCTTCTGATAATGCTGGTCAGCTCCGGGGGGTGTTGGGAGAGCAGAGCTAGCAGCAGGTTTGGGTCTCGACTCAATCGTGCCCCACAGCAGATCGGATGTCAGCCTGGCTCAGTGTGTAGCATTCTCGCCTCCGAGTCAGAAGGTTGTGGGTTCAAGCCCTTGTCAGGACTTTGAGCTGTCTAGGCTGACACTACAGTATAGTGGTTGGGGAGTATTCATAGAATTATAGAATTATACAGCACAGAAGGGAGGCCATTCAGCCCATTGTGTCTGTGCCGACTCTTTGAAGAGCTATCCAAATCAATCCCACTCCCCCGCACTCTCCCAATAGCCCTGCAAACTTGTGCTGCCCAAATAATTATCTAATTATTGTTGGAGATGTCATCCTTTGGATTACATTTAAGCCATCTGCCAGTTCAGATGGACATTAAAGGTCTTATGGCGCTGTTTGAAAAGAGAAGAGAGTTTCTCTCGGTCTCTGGGCCAACAAGTCATCCAGGTAAATCCATTAAGGCTGTTCCTGGAAGATGCTGTGCACAAAAATGACTGTTGTGTTTGCCTCCAGAAACTGATCACACAATATCAATTACTGTGGAAATTTCGATGTGATAGGGCGCTATACAAATATACCTCCCTTTTTTCAAGCTCACCAACAAGCACAGTACACCACTGGTGTACCATTCACTCTTTTCCAAATGCAGAATAGATTACCGGTGCTCTCGCTCCTCTGTCAGCAGTGCTGACATGATGTAATCCAACACCGGAGCTTTTACATTGCTGTTGAAACAATCTCCGCCAAAGTATTACTTTAACAGTCTGACCTCCATCCTTCTTCACAGTCCCTCAACACAAAATCTTCACACACTTAAAATTCCAAATGTTATTGAATGTAACCTCATACGATGGGTGTACATTACGAGAACCTGTTCCGCGCAAGACATTGTGAGTTAACAGACAAACCTGTGAATTACTACCTGACACTCAGGTGCCCTCCACACAAGCTAAACATGCTCAAACATTCAGCATTAAACTAGCAGTACAAGAGCATGGAATGTAAAGCACAACCTTATTCATGTTCTAAACGTGGAGCAAATTCTGCAGGGTTGTGAGATGTGAGTCAATAATGTGAGTGACACTTACCATTAACATGGACACCTTTCTGCTGAGTTTTATGCATTCTTTTCAATAAAGCCAAACAGTCCGAAACTAGAATCTTCTTGCATCCTTCTCGCAATAAAATCTGAAAAGAATTGCAATATGGTTTAGTGGGGGTACACAATGCATTTCTTGCATTTCGCATTGTACCAATAAGAGTTTAATTCACAGAAATCTGAGAAGGAAATGTCATATGACACTCTGCAACACAACAAACCACTCCACAGACTTTGTTACTGGAGGGACCAAACCTGCTTTTCTGATCAGGCTCTTCTGATAGTTGGTCATGGACAATAAATAAATTTAAACGGCCTCTAATGGTAACAAGAGGGAACAGGACGAGAGCAAGAAATCCGAGTTAGAAGAATGCAGTGGGAGATAGGAGGCTGGAGAAGATCGGACAGCCAGGTGGGGTGGAATGACACTGTGGTGGGATCTGAAAGTGAGAATCTTGAAATCTACTGCTGAGGGAGGGGGAGATGATAAATCTAGCCAAAGATTGGGTGACGCGAGAGGCAGAACTGGTGTAAAAAAGGTGGAGACAAGCATACGATACATCACTGTCACTATACTGAATGGCTGACAATAAACTTCAACCTCCGCATTAGGATGTGTGCTTCTTCATGGTCAGCTGAACATTTCCACTATTAACAACAACCTCTACTTTTATGTAGTCGAGCAATGTCTCGAAGCAATTTTCGGGTATGGAATGGAAACTTGAGCTGTGCAAGGGGTAGGAAGGAGTTAGCTGAAGGTATGTTCAAAGGGGTGGGTTTTTAGGAAGGATTTTGAAAGCAGCAAAGGAGTGTTCAAAGTGGAGGGATTTTGACTCCACGTACGCTGTGCAGCTCTGGCACCTCCGATTTAACAAGCACCGTCATATTCTCAGGTGGTTTGGGATAATGACTCAACCAAAATCCTGGTAAATAGCAGTGAGCAAGTGGATGAGTTCTACCCTCAGTCATTACTACTTCCTAGTTAATAGACTATAGCAGCACTAGGGACCTAAGAGCAGGAAGGCTGGAGGGGTGGAGCCTGTGCCTCCTCAAGGAGGTGATGATGCCCCCATCTCCCTTGTGTACTGGGGCAGGTCTGAGAAGGTTGGAGACCCTGGCCTGGGCCTGGAGCATGAAGTCTAGGCCACATGTAACAACAACACATTTCACGTGGGATAGCGCCTCACAGTGCTTAACAGGAGGGCTGGCCTGAGGTTGGTTACAACAACTTGCACTTATATAGCACCCTCCATGTAGGATAGCGACCCAGTGTCCTTGAATGGTTAATAGTTAGAGCGGGGCGGGGATTACGAATGTGCTGGTCTATAATAGGGGTGGCAGGCCTGCCCGCGAGCTCCATGCCAGACTCCGAATCAGCCTGCGTGGGGATCCGCGCTACAATACATTTTCCTTTGCTATCATCTCATCACTCAGCCACTTCCTGGTGAAAGGTGAATCGATAGAATGTGCTAAAAAAAACAAAAAACTACAAATATAATTTGTTTCCACAGGTAATTTATCCACTTCTTCTTCACAAGCGTCAGCTTCACGTTACCTGCTTTCTGAGTGTGCATGTGTCTGTGTGAGTGCCTGTGTGTCTGTGGTGTTTGTGCGTGTGTCTCTCTGTGTGCATGTGTCTGTCTGTCTGTGTGCGTGCCTGTGTGCGTGCGTGCGTGCCTGCGTGTGTGCGTGTGTATCGCAGACTAACTGGCATTTGGATTATTATTTAAGATTTCATCATTTCAAAATACAAGGGCGATATAGAAAGATACAAATTATCTCCATTTCCCAAATGAATTTAAAATCTCATCCCTGAATAGCAACCTGCAGCACTTTTCATTGGACAACTGTAAACAGTACACGCAGATCAAATTGGAGTCACATTGTGCAGCTCCAACACATTCTGTAATTGATACCTACGCAATAGGCATATCCAGCTGATGTTTTCATTTTAAGTCATTTTGGCTTCAGAATGCAGAGTACAACAAAACATGCATCAATGGTATAAAACAAGCATACAAAAGTGCAATTTGTTTTATAAAAAGGATGTTTTCAAACATGTTCCTATTTGTGTACATACGTGAAAAAGACTGAACACACCAATTAAAGAACATGCACAATCTAATAAGACAATTTAATGAGCTATACTATTTTGAAGAATTAAATGCCTTTTCCAAGTGATTCATTTAGTATATCCTTAGTGAAGCATGATATTTCAGGCTGGTTAGATGCTATAAAACTTACACTTACAAGAGATAAAATGTGAGATTTCTCATTCAGAGTCACGCTTCATTCAGAAATACACAAACTGTCCACATGAAGCCACTGCAATTCTGATCATTATTAAAGTATTCAACGTGATGAAGCCTGACTTTTTTTTATTAGGTAAGAGTATCAAGGGATATGAGGCAATGGTGGATAATTGGAAATGAGGTATAGATCAGCAATGATCTAATAGAATGGTGGCACAGGCTCGAGGGGCTGAATGGCCTACTCCTACGTTGAAAAAAACAACAAAATGACATTTGTATAGCGCTTTTCACATTGGGAGGACGTACCAAGGCGCTAGACAATTAATGTTTCAGACCTGAGCTGGGGGTTGGGATCGGGAAGGGTGGAGGCCGGGGGGGGGGGGGGGGGGGGGAAGGAGGGTGACTAAAGGCGCGGTCGAAGGAGGGTCTTGAGACAGGTCTTGAAGGAGGCAAGGGAGGGAGCGAGGCGGAGGGCCTGTGCGATGGAGTTCCAGAGGGTAGGGGCAGAGTGGCTGAAGGCCCGCCCGCCAATGGTGGGGAGGCTGAACCAGGTGATGTGAAGCAGGCCAGAGCCCGCTGAGTGGAGGGAGCGGGCAGGTTGGTAGGGGTTAGGAGGTCGCAGAGGTAGGGGGGAGCAAGGCCATGGAGGGCTTTGAAGGTGAGAATCAGGATCTTGAACTGTATCCTCTGTGTGATAGGAAGCCAGTGGAGTCGGACGAGGATGGGGGTGATCAAAATACTTTTATTCAGCTATCTCGCCACTCCCCAACTGACCTGCAAGTTATAGTCCTGCAGAATCTTCACCAGCGAGTCTCTCAGGTTAGGGATCTCCATGCCTTCCTTTATTCGGTGGATCAACAGGATTGGATCAACATGGGTGCCGATGTTGTTCAACAATCCAGTTATAAAGGCTGCAAGGGAAATGTTAACTATCAACAACAATGAACAATGTAACATGAACCCCAGTCCATTCATTGATGATCAAAGCCATGCATTCCAAACATTTAACATCTGGAATCCATTCCATCCCTTGCCATTTGATATGATTCCTGATAGTTACAATACAAGAGCCAAATTAGTATCTTTAGAAACAATCGTTCTCCAAAGTGTGAATTAAATAAGAAAATCAACCATTGCCGAGTTTAAAAAACACCATGGTGCTCCAGATTCAAAACAAAAACACCATTTGCCACAAATCTGAAATAAAGCCAGGAAATGAGGGGAATGAACAGAAAGCACCAGGTGCGATCCTTCCAACCTAGAAAGACTGGACTAAAGTAGGCCAGAATCATCCGCGAAATTAGAGGCAACAATATTAATTACGATAAGTAATAATCCTTGCATTTGATATAGCGCCTTTCATGTTGTTGAGGCATCTCAAAGCACTTCAGGGTAGATACTGTAAAGTCGATTCACTGTGTATTTTGTGAGTGAAACAAGATCAGGAAATGCTGGAGTAATGGACTGAACAGTGCCAAAGAACCAAAATCCATCTCTAACTCTCATACTCTAATTCAGCTGTCCCAGGACCTGTATCAGCAGAAAGAGTAACAGATTTCAGCAAGTAATCCAAACACCTTGTTTTCCCCTCTTCTCAGAATAATGGCCCACAGCAGAACTAGTTGTACTCCAGATTTTCCTAGGAGCAGAACCATAGAATAAGGTTGTGGAGCTTCTCATCTACTTCCTACCTGTAGGCTTTTCAAATGGCGAGTTAATGAAACAATCATCCTATCAGAAGATCTTGTGTATAAATTCCCATTTCACGTATCTGTCTTTTCAGGTTACGAAGGATTTAAATAGTTAACAACAAAATCAAATGAGGAGAAAATTTCACTGAATAAAGGTAACATGTAGTTGATACTATTCCTGATATAGTTACAATATAAGAGCCATATTAATATCTTTATAAGCAATTAAGTGTGAATTTAATAAGAAAATCAACCATTGCCGAGCTTGAAAAAAGCAATGCCTTGATTTTGTTTTAGATTTCTCGTTCAGAATCACGCCTCATTCTGAAATGTGCAAACTTTGAGAAAGTGCTTCCTCCCTTGGCTCCTTTAGGTGCATCTCAAGACCTTCCTTTTCGGCCTTGCCTTTGTTCATCTTCGCTGCTCCTTCCCCACTTGCCTTCAACCCCCTCTCTGTTCCCAACCCTTCATTGCAAACCTTTCATTGTCTAGCACCTTGGGATGTTCTCCCTGACATGAAAGGCATTATATAATGCAATTTGTTATTGTTTTAAAACCTTTCCCCCTGAACCCACTTCAAGCGATTTAATATCAGCACACTGTCAATTGCTCAATTCAAGGCTGGTTTAAGATCTCGATTCCAAGATCCTCACACCCGTGCTGAAATCCATTCGCTCCCTGGCACCAACTGACCTTCTCACTCCCCAATCCACCATCTGGCACCTCCGCTCAACTGGCACTGGCTTCCTACTTGTCCCTCACACCCTCCGCTCCACCACTGAAGGTCGGGCTTTCAGCCACTAGGCCCTGAAACTCTGGAACACTCTCCCTCAATCCCTCCGCTTTACCGTCTCTCTCCCCTTTTTCAAGTTCTGCCTGAAAACCTTCCTTTTCAACCGTGCTTACAGTCACCCCCCCACCACAGGCTGAGTCAGCTCCTCCATTGTTAAGCGCTCTGAGACACTACCCTGCGTGGAGGGTGCTATATAAGTGCAAGTAGTTGTTGTTTACGTACGTGGCTTGTCGATGGAATAAGAGATCAGGTCCTCCCAGAGTTCAGCATCGTCCTGTTCTTTAGCAAACTCAATGGCCTTGTCCACATCCTGGAGCTCCTCAGTTATCATCTGTAGCGCACGGCGGCTATTACCCATCCTGCCTGTATCAGGAGAAAGAACAACAGTAAGCATTCCTGACACTTTGCTTCCTCTACCTCTCAAAATACTGGTCAATAAATGTTATCACCAAACTATCTGAGCAGCAAGTTTCACCAGGAGCATTACCTTAGAATAAGCAGAACACCTCCCAAATGATTTTACACCTAGGCTTTACATAATCCTTGCATTTTTTTTGATATGGCGCTTTATCATGTCTTCAAGACATCTCGAAGTGCTTCACAGAATATACTGTAAAGTATGTGGACTGTATATCTTATGGGCAAAACGAAGTAGCCAATTGTGCATAGCAGTGTCCCACAAACAGTCGTGGATTGAGTGACCACATTATTATTCGTATTTTTCATATATTTTTGTGAAGGGATTATTACCTCCAGAAAAGCAATCCACCGATCGACTAACAACTGGGTTCCAACTTACTGCTAGATAAATGGAGGCGTAAGGAAACTTGCCCAAGTTTCCGCCCTGCATGGAAATCGAACCCGGGTCCTCTCGCTTGTGAGGCGACTGCTCTAACCACTGAGCTACAGGACTCCACATAAGAATGAAGACAGTCAGAAGCCCATTGAGTTTATTTGCACTGAAATATTGTCCTTCTCACTTGGGAAGGAGGGTAAAAGGTCAAGTTCACTTGCATGTCCTACTATTAATTAATCAGAGTAGTATTGCAAGGGAGCTGGAATTAAACAATCTACAGATCAGACAGAAAAGCATACCAGATTGAGAAAGAGCAGAGAAACTGAAGAGAAAGCTGAAGAGAGACAAAAAGTAATAAAATGTATAAAATAACACTTTACTAAATATGAGCACAATGCATTCTTGAAGAGATAGTGCATGCTTAAGTTTTGCAATGAATTTCAGTAACTTTTGACTGGGTTGGTTAGTAGAAGTTTGCATTACAGTAGAACAATCAAATTGGCTAAGGAATTACGTAAAATATGTATCGCCAATGATGTAGACGCATCCAGATAAATGATCGGTTCAGACGGGACAGTTTTTTTTTGTGTGATTGTGGTATAAAAAAGTTTTTGTGAGAAGGAGTTCCTTGAATGAGGGAGAAGTCCCACAGCACCTTTTGACTAACTGTTCTTCTAAAATTTTACTGAATCTCGAAAGAGTGTAACTTTGGACTAATGAGTGTGGTTTCTATTAAATCTTTGGATAATTCAACAATATCGGTCGCCAGCAAACCACAGCCGCATCTGAATTGATTGGAATAGTTACTTATTATTAGAAGTACTACAAAATCCTGAGAGCATAAATCCCATAGGCATCCAATAACGGAAGTGTAAAATCGGGTGAAACTAGTTCATATGTTGAGGACTGAGTTTGTGATACTATAAATAATAATAACCCTTGCATTTGATATAATGCTTTATCACGTCATTGAGATGTCTCAAAGCACTTCACAGAATATACCGTAAAGTGGATTGACAGTGTATTCTGTGGGCAAAAAGTGGCAGCCAATTGCGCACAGCAATCTCTCACAAACAGTTGTGGATTGAAATTATCGATGAAATAACAGCAACGTGCATCTGAGTCAGGATTGTGAGCGACTTGGAAGTGCCTGTGTGAGAGCGACAGCAGATATTGACCTGAGTGGCCGGGGCCCTGATCAAGTGAACTATCTGCTCCAAGAAGATGTTGGTTTAGCTGCACCCATCAAACTCTAGACTTGAACCTTGGCCATTGTGGTAAGGTTTTGAGGAATTAGCAGATGAGCCAGTTGGCAGAGTACCTAGGCTCTTCCCTGCACTGCCCCTGTAGCTACAGCGTTGAGGTGACTTAGCAAAGGTTACTACATTGAAGGTGGGGGTGGGGAGGAAGGGGAAGGAAGGAGGATACATATACTAAAACACTATAGAAACCTTTTATGTTTCTGTTCAAATTACTTCGGAGAACAGTAAATTAAAAGGAAAGCATATTTACAGAAACACTGTAGAAATCATTACTGTTCAGGTCACGCTATTTTTTGGGGAGAGAACTAGCATTTTTAACACCACATCATATTGAAACACCATATCAAGTGCTGCACAGCAACCACTGGTCAAGACCTTTCAAAAACAATTCATTTTACAGAGAATGGATCCTAAATATATGCAGGCCATATCACTCCCAAATACCTCTCCAGATATCTGAAACCCCAAGTGCTACAAATGTTTTCTTCAGGAATTACTGTTGTTTCACATCCACTTATTTTGTCACCATTATTGTCAATGAGAGATAAAGTCCAGTGGATGGCAGTATTTACCACTTAAAGCAAAAGTACAAAAAAAATACAAATCCTTGTATTGGTATAGCGCCTTATCACGTCGTTGAGACGTCTCAAAGCGCTTCACAGAAATACTGTAAAGTGAATTAACTGCATATTTTGTGGCTGAAACGCAGCAGCCAATTACGCACAGCAGTTAGCCATCATGCTGGATGGATAGAACAGAAAAAGGGTATTTTAAAAAAAAATATTGCCTCTTTCTAAACCGTGTCACAACAAATAGCACATTTATTACTGGAGGTAAATTTGTCTCCATTACACAACTGAAAAATTGCAACAGGAACATGTCATAGAACTGGGAATGTCAATATCTTGGTTGTTTTCATTTCTGTTCATATTACATGCAACCAGCTTTTGCTTTCTATTGGATTGATATGCCACCTTGTTTTGCAAGTTGTGAGACAATAAGTGCTTCAGAGACAGAGAATGGTTTGGGTTTCAAGCAAAATGATACAGTCTATCCCGTGTTATAGAGTGTACGTTACATCCAAGACGATAGCCCAGGGATGGCTGTCTGATGCCAGAATAACATCAAGAATTCAAGACATCCCTTGATATACATTGAACATTTCCTACACCTACCTTCCTTTGATTTACATTTGGTAGGCTTACACTGGTCCACAGATGGAATGATAGAAATTATTGCATTGAGCTGATATTCATCACAACTGTGACATTAACTCGATTCTTGAAGTGTTTAGTGGCTATTGTATTGGAGATTGAGGCTTATTTTCCAGGCTAGACTTTGAAACTCATCAATCTCTCTCCTTCCCTTCCACCCACCACCTCACCAAGTTTAGCTTCCACTTACTTAGTAAAAATACGGTTTCTTCAACAAAATTCCGCTCCTGGCAAATTTCGAGAGCCTACAAAAAACAAACAGTAATAATTGTATGATACCTGGCAGACCGGGAGCAAAATAAGTAAATAATTATTCTGACATTAATTAATCATACTTGTTGGGAGTGGTGCAGCAGGAATTAAGAAATGTGGATTTTCTCAATTTTCCCTCACTTTGAATTAAGAGTTGAAATAGTTTTCCATTGGAAAAGCAACTTCCAAATTATGGTTGAAGTTTCAATGGAATATCAGGCCTCAGAACACTTCTGGTAACTCGAGCGAGTTAATTACATCATGTTTATTTTAATAATAATAATGATCTTTGCATTTGATATAGCGCTCCATCATGTTGTTGAGATGTCTCAAACCACTTGACAAATATATTGTTAAATGAATTGACTGAATACTAATAATCCTTGCATTTAATATAGCGCCTTTCCATGTCATTGAGATGTATCAAAGCCCATCACAGAATGTACTGTATACTGGAGTGACTGGCCATTTGTTGGCAAATTACACACAGCAGTGTCCCACAAACAGTCGTGGATTGAGTGACCAAATTTTTATTTTTTATATATATTTATTGTTAATAATAATAATAATATATAATAATAATCCTTGCATTTGATATAGCGCTTTTCACGTCGGGAGGACGTCCCAAAGCGCTTCACAGAACACACTGTAAAGTGAATTGACTGTATATTTGTGGGCGAACGCGGCAGCCAATTGCGCACAGCAATGTCCCACAAACAGTCGTAGATTGAAAATGACCAATTTAATTATTGTTTTGGGTTTTTGGAGGGATTATTATTAGGCTCTGTGTGGAGTAAGGAAACTTGCCCAAGGTTTCGCCCCCTGCCTGGAATTGAACACAGGTCTCTCACTTGCAAAGCGAGTGCTCTAACCACTGAGCTGCAGGATTCCACAACTGAGCTACAGGACTCCACATTAATTAATAGGCATTAATACCCCCGGAAAAGCAATCCACCAATCATCTAACAACTGGTTTCCTACTCACTGCTAGGTAAGCAGAGACGTGTGGAGTAAGGAAACCTGCCTAAGGTTTTGGTTACTTGGACACACCATGGTGCAGTCAGATGCTCTTACCTTCTCCAGCGGGCAATGGGTGCTGTTTCGCAGGAACGGAAGCAGATTTTTTCGATCGTATTCAGCGAACAGGCTGATCTGTAGCTCATGATACTTCTGTCCCTTATGGTGATCTCGCTTAAACAGGTTATGCAGATACTGTTCAGCGAAAGAAAAACATGAGGAGCTGCTGTAAGTTTCTTTATATAAACGTATTGGAATAAACCTTAAAAAAAAATCAAAAAACAAATCTCAACTTTCAAGCACCCTTTTTATATCACCACTTAGGAAGGATATAGATATAATATGCATGGAATTGTAACAAAATGGTGAATGGGAACTACATCCATAGGTTCCTTATATCACAAGCACGAGACTGTGGAGGAAAACTGTAAGACATCTATAGGGAATAGAACTGTGCCAATATGTGGTTCCAGTGTAATTTGGAGCTTTCAATAAAATTCTTCCAACTGCTCAATGATCCCTGCACCCAAACACTGGAAACATGGTGACAATCATTCCCTGCTGCCTAGCATTGTGAATACACATTAAATGGGGTAGTAAAATCAGTGTTTCAAAACAGAATTTCTTAATAGTGATTCACAGTGAAGAACAGGGTATGTTGCTGGTAATGGGCAGCATTGGCCATGGTAGACTTACTTGTCTGAACCCCACTGCAAAGCATCGGAGGCGAATGGGAGGGCTGTGGCCCTAAGAATGGACTGCAATACGCCAGTTATGCAAAGCATTGCCAGTAAATGACTCAAGAGTTGCTATTGGTGAATCATGTACGCAAATCACCAATTTTTGGGGGGGCTCAAATACATGCTAAATTTAACACATCTGTGATCTGCTGCACAATAAAGAAACATTGAAATACATCATATTCAAACGCCTTTGTGGACTCTGGCACTATCAAAAGAAATGTTACAGAGGTGGTGAGTAAGGCAATGAGGAGGACAGAGACTTGAAGCTCAGTTATGAGGAGAGATTTACAAAGCTGAGCTGTTTTTTAAATTAGACAAAAAAATGAAGGGGCCATGATCCAGGACTAGAAAATGCTGAGACACAGAAATGATGCAAATAGATACAAAATGACTTATTGATGTAGATTTACATAGAATGTATAGCAAGAAACAAGCCATTTGGCCCAACTAATCTGTGATCATGTTTAACCATCTCATAATGGCTCCAAATGGCTCCCATCCACTCCTTACCCCCACCATGCCCTTTCCCCTCATGTGTATATCTAGCTTCCTCTTAACTGCACCTATAATACCTATAATTAAATCACTGCTTCAGGCAATGAGTTCAACATTCTCACTACCATTTTAAACCCACACGAGGACATGGGTTTAAAATGTAAAAAAGCAAGAGATGATTTCCTCCCTCTGCCCCATGGCAATGGATATGTGGGACACAGACCCAAACAAAAACAAGTGATGCTCATCCATAACTCCATCGAGAAAGAACTGGAAGTATCTAACTGCGGACAGTTTTGGACATTACAAAGTTGTAGGGCTAACCTCAAACCGTTTTGAGGTGACTTCCCAATTTAACACTGGAAACTATATGACATAGAAGACCTGGACTTAGCAAAAATCTGAATCAGGTAAGAGAAGCAATTTTATATTTCAGTTTTAAAATAAAGCCATATTGCTTGTATAAAATATCAGAGTCAGCTTAGTGTGTAACCTAATGCCAAGCAGTAAACTCCTTTACCAGGTTATAGCTTTCTATCGCAGTCCAGGATATCCATTCTTCCACACACATTATCCAGGCAGGCAGTCAGAGATGAAACAGAGCCCAATATAAGACTGCTGTGCCCAGGTCTATTCCCTCAACAGCACCTTTCAAATTGTTTGCTTTTTTTTTAAGTGAATTATTTTCTTATTTGTCTCACTTTGCCCACACACACCACCCTTGCCTGACACGATTGAGAATTGAGAACGACCATCAGATTTGGCAGAACTTGGCTTCTCAAAGTCTGTTCATTAACAGTGCACCCTCTAAATCAGAGAGGTGTTTTTTATGGTGTGGTGGGGGGTGGGGAGTAGTGAATAGAGATAATTCTCTAGTCATTTCATGTTGGAATAGAAATGATGCATTTTGCAGTTATATGGGATCTCTGGACCAATTTATTCCTCATCAAATTCTACTAAATAATAATAATCCTTGCATCTGATATTGCTCCTCATCATATTTTGAGACATCTCAAAGCGTTTCACAGAATATACTGTAAAGTGAATTGTCTGTATATTTTGTGGGCAAATGTGTGGATTGAGTGACCAAAGTATTATTCTTTAAAATTTATTTTTTTGAATGATTGCCCCCAGAAAAGCGATCAGCCAATTGACTAATAACTGGATTCCTACTTACTGCTAGGTAAACAGAATAAGGAAACTTGCCTAACGCTGCCTGGGAATCAAACTCGGGTCCTCTCGCTTGCGAGGAGAGTGCTCTAACCACTACGCTACAAGACTCCATAATAGAAGAAGCCAGGAGATGTGCCTAAATATCAGATAATTTTACTCACGTTTCCCTTTTCTGGTTTTGTTGCCATTAATTATTAATATGGAATAGTAATTAGGAACAACAACAAAACAACAAAATTAATTTGTATAGCGCTTTTCATGTCGGGAGGACAACAACAATTTAACTTATAAGGCGCCCTCCAAGCAGGGCAGCATTTCAGATGGCTTAACAGTGGCGGAGCCTGACTCCGAGCCGGGGGTGAGGGGGAGGTGGCTGTACGCATGGTTGAAGAAGAAACTTGCTACGGTCGGAAAGGACGTCCTAAGGCGCTGAACAATCTCAAAGATCCTGTGCAATTGCCAAGCCCACAAATTCATCACTCAACAAAACAGAACTAGCTCTCTCTTGTGCAAGGAACAACATAAAAAATCTGCAGGTCATTACTTTGACTTTTCATCAGGCAGGTCACGATTTTACCGTCAGTGTGTGATTGGGGATAGGGGTGGGCGGTGAAGAGGTGCCATCCCTGGCAAACCTTCACGGTAAAAACGGTTTCCATCAACAGAAATTATTCAAGTAATAATCAACAATTGTGACCATTCCCTCTGTGCTATTCTCTTCAGCGTATTCACTGCATTTTCATGCAACACTTAAGAACTGGGATCGATCAAAGGCTAATTCAGTGACGTTTTCTGAAGTGCTGTGAGCACCCTGACACAGTATGGTGCAGCATCGTTTCTGCTCCAGTACATCTTGAGCTCAGAAAAGGACTGCATAATACATGCAATTCAGACATTAGTGCCCATCCTGAATTAAGATAGGATTTGACACGCAAAGTGCTAGTTAAATGTTCTATAAATAAGAAATTATGCGACATACTTCCTGCATAATAGGACATTTTAATTTTGTTATTACACTCATCTCTAATGCCCCCCGTCCACCTGCATCCCACATACAGACAAGTCCCACCTGCACTCCATGCACAAGAGTGCACGTCACATGCACACACCACCCCTACCCCACCTGCACCCCACACATGGCCGAGTTACTGCATATATTTTATCGCCATTGCTCTGAATCAGAGCAGTCATGGACAAGCTGCTCAGTGTGATCTTTCCTTCGAGTTGTGCATTCGTTCAAGGAAGCCACTTGCTCTACTTCGTCCTGCATTCTCACTGTGTAGATATTAAACTTCATTGCGCAATGTTCAGCACATTAAGAGTGTGAAATTCCTCTCTTTGCTCGGTCTTCACGCTTTTCGTATCATCTAGAGACATAGACTTCATCCTTTCAGCTCCTGATTAAAAAAAAGCTTTCGCTGGTCATGAAGCCTGACAACATAGATACGATTGTAATTACAGGTGTAATCTTGCAATGGGAATCAGCGATCACAGGTACAAACGGTACCCAGCACGGATGAGCCACACTCACTGAACGTAATGCTGAAAACAAAAGAGATGCTCTTTAATATTAACACAATGCACACTTACCTTATGCTGTAGTTCTGGTTGGTCCTTCAGTTCTTCAACAACTTTATCAATCTTTACCAAAATAAACCAAAAAACAACATTTAGCAAAACAGCCAACTCTTACTTTAATAAAAGTAGTCTTTACTGCACAATTTATTTTTGGTGAATATTCTTTCTAAATAGCATCATTTCAAAAGTTATAGGACAAGGACAAGTTGGGACCTTACTTACCGAAATTTTATCTTCATTGTCCAGAAGCATGTTCACTGCTTTCTGAAAAAGAAGTTGAAATCGACACAATGATAAAGCAGTCATTAAGGCCTCAGGCAGGTTACTTGTCAAGCAGCAGTCTAGGTGATTCACAATGCATTTGCTCCAGAATATTTACCTCAAATAAAAATAAATGCATTCGCCCACAAAACAGTTCACACACTTTACAGTATATTCTGTGAAGCACTTTGGGACATCCCCTTGACATGAAAGGTTCCATATCAAGTGTAAGGATTATCATTATTCCCTGAGAAACATCAGGTACACTGAAACCCTGGCTGGCTGGACCAATTGAGGTGGGGATTATTCATATGAAGTATTGGGTGCCCAAATAGTTGTGATAACTACCCTATTATCCAGTCGGAGAGATGGAATTTGTGGCTATGTGTAATTACAATGATGGTACAGGCATTGTAATTGTTTGGATTCTGCGAACCGAAGACGGTGAATAATTTGCTCAGGGGATTCAAGTCAATATCGCTGGCCACTGAAGGTCAGCCAGCATAGTGAAGCGGGGGTGTGGCTAGGAGAGTGTGCTAGCAGGAGGCTACACATGGGAACGCAGAATTTTTAAAAAAATTTCCCTTTTGGTCGCAGTCTGGTTAGGTATGAATTCTGGATACCCAGAGTGTGGTAACCCAGAGGTTTACTCTACCAGGATATGAAACGCCGTGCAGGCTAGATTGCCCAGATATATTTGCAGACTTTTGTAAGTTGAGGTCTTAATGGAAATATGGAATTAATCTACCGTTTACACCACCTTTACTTAGCCTCAGCTACTCTAATGTATACATCATCCATTATGTGGGCAAAAATACAAATATATAAGTTTCTTTTGCAGATTTATACATTGTTAAGGCTGTTTTAGCATTATTTGAAATGAAGTACAGGGTGAACAAAAAGTTATTATAACTACTCTATCATCTTAGACAAAACAAAAATATCATAATTTCTTTAAGACTTATTAGACATTGCAATGGTACCATGACTTTTTGGTCACCCTGTACATTTCTGTTGGATGAATTGTTCGGGATAAACTTTGCAAAAATAACTGGCGCAGTACAAAATCATACACACAGAAGGTTGATATGCGATCTCAGCTGGAGCAACAGTTGGGTGCTGAAATTGGTCTCAGTGTCCCCTGGGTCAAGGAAAAAAAAACGTATCATATTTCCCTGCTGGAACAGAACTGTGTGTTGACGTCTAGTGAAAACATGGTTGGGCTCAGCTGTGAAGCAGAATAGCTTACTGATATTCACACATTAACAATGGCCACTTGATGGATGTACAAGGCTGCCCATCACCCAAGGAACCGTAGCTCATTAAAAGGAAAAAGGAGTCAAATGCCATTGTTGGGGTCGGCGGGGAAAGAGTGAAACAACTTTGCAGAATTTCCGTTTGTTGAAGATCCTAGTTTAGTTTTTTTTAACAAAAACAGAACAAATAACAAGCAACTGATGGTGTTCTACCTTCACGGAAGCAGAACGCAAGATCTGCAGCACACACAAAACATGGTTCCCTACCTCCGTATCGAACTCCAGGAGCAGAACAATTTTATTTTTGATAGAGCTGAAGAGATTGTGCTTGTGTATCAGCTGGAAAGCATCTTTATGTCGTAACTTTAGGTAAATTTCAAGAGCTTTATCGTATCGCTGGTCATATGTGTACCTGAAAATAATAAAACAAAACAGGCAGAGGACTAATTATCACACAGCCCCCCTCCACTGGCAAAAGACAGCTTTATGTTTAGCCTGGTGGATAATAGCTACACGAACAGTTTGCTCTGAAACCATTATGATTATTAAAGGCATTTGTTCTCTTTGAGCATCATTGGAGAATACTTTTCAATATTCATGAATTGATTTGCAAACAGCCGATCCTGAAGTTAGTGGCTGTGTCTCAGGCCAACCACAGTATAATGTAATAAACTGAGGTCCCATCTGCTTGTTCAGGTGGACTTTAAAGATCCCATGCCACTATTCGAAAAGAGAAGGGAGTTTCTCCCAGTATCCTGGCCAACAAATTCCCCAAATAAAATTTGGTCACTCACTCCATGACTGTTTGTGGGACACTGCTGTACGAAACTGGCTGTTGCATTGCGCCCACAAAATACAGTCACTCTTCTTTAGAGTATATTCTGTAAAGTGCTTTAAGTCTCTCAAAGACATGAAAGGCGCTGTATCAAATGCAAACTTTATTATTATTAAGATCCAAGTGTAGCCAGCCAGCGACACATCCTGCCACCTTCACTTTGAGAGGCCATTTTGCAAATCATAATAATAATAATCCTTGCATTTGCTATGGCACCTTAATATGACTTCAAGACATCTTAAAGCACTTCACAGAATATACTGTAAAGTGAATTGACTGTATATTTTGTGGGCAAAATGTAGGAGCCAATTACACACAGCAGTGTCCCACAAACAGTCGTGGATTGAGTGACCAATTTACTTTTTTTTTTGAAGAAATTATTACCCCCAGAAAAGCGATCCACCAATCGACTAACAACCAGGTTCCTATTTTCTGCCAGGTAAATAGAGGAGTGTGGAGTAAGGAAGCTTGCCCAACATTTCACCCTGCTTGGAACTGAACCCAGGTCTCTCGCTTGCAAGGCGAATTCTCTTTTGAGCTACAGGACTCCACAAATCCAATGAAGTACCCATACAAAGTACTCACAATTCTGCTAGAGTTGTCAGCAGCGTTCTGTTATTTGGATGCCTGTCCAAATGATCTAACACAGTTCGGACCACAGCCGTGTGGTTATATAGGTCGCCCGGCCATTCTCTGATCAGTGATGCAAAACCCTTAAAAACAATAGATTTTTTTTTTACAATATACCCAATTCTCATGAGAGCACAGATTGACAAATATGTTACAGAAACCTTACTGAACTGCGTTCACTATAAAGCATTTCACAGCCACCTCTGAATTGCTAAAGTTGCAGTTTAAAGATCATTCTATCTATGACAAATATAAGCAAATTGACCAATATCAGTTTGATTAAATATTTGACAAGACAGCTAAACAGAGGTTACCTAAATGTGAAGCTTGCAATCGTTTACAAAACTGTTCTATTTAAAAAATTATTATACATTCTTCTTCAATCTGAATACACCAGGAAAGGTTCTGAATGTTTTTGTGCTACTTTTCCCCATTTTTTTATTTGCTTGATTAGTCAAATGCAAAGCCTCCCTGTACCTGGCAATTTGCTATTCAGGGCCTGAAAGCAGCTATTAACCTATTACTGTTTTCAGCACTGGAGAAAAATGGCATTTGGAAATGTTTCTGCACAGTGTGCGGTCTGTGATACCAAACCTATACATACTCCCTCTTCCCCTGTGCGACCCCCCACCCCCCCACCCGAAACGAAACCATCACTGAACTGACGCCTGACCAGAAATTTAAAGATTTTCGATCGATATTGTGCTCTCCTAGTGGGAAGCCCTTTCACACTTTTTACCTCAAGAAAATGTTTTTGCTTTTGAGAGTCACCTCCTGAGGATTTCTTCCAAACCAATAGCTTTCATTGGAGTTATTTTTATATAAAAAAAACACGAGTGCGCAAATGACCGAGGAGCGCACACTGAATGCTAAGGTACTAGTTTCCTCCTATCTTTCTCGGTTGCTGACCGACCTTTTCTGGGCATTTCTTGTTCTTATGAGGGATTTTTGTCCTGTGAAAAATCAGTTGAAACGTGCGAGAAAATCAACTGTGAAATACATAGGAAAATTCATCGAAACATTTTGAATCAGAAATACATCAGCTTATCACCATTAGATCTCATCTTATCCAATTTCCAGTTTGGCACACACCCGTTACATATCTGCGTACAAAGGTTTTGTCCATCTCGCTCAAGTAAAATAAAGGAGATGATTTCTTTCTCAGACCTAAAAATATCACTTTGAAAAATTGATTAGTTTCCTGTTTTTGGAGTTAAACCCTGAATGAAAAGGCTGCAAAGATGTCTCAAATAAGCCTAAGCCACAAGCACCTGATCTGTGAAGAATGGTACGGCCCCAGGTTTCAACCTTAGTCTGTTCTCAGTCAGGGCAGCTGTACAATCCAGCTCAAGCCTTGTGTTTACAGGGAGGGGGATAAATCGGCCAGGGTTCATGTTCCAGATTGCTGACCCTGCTGCCTGATGGACAAGTGCAGAATTTGACCCTCAGTCTAACAGCTTTATTCCTCATTCCTCCAAACTGTGGCTCTCAATTCACTGCCATGCATGTTCCACTACTTCCGTCAGAAGGATAGTATTTGTGGGCAAGTAGGTGATGGGCTTCCCCACAACTGCCTTTGGCAAACAGAATTGTCTGAGTAACCATTTGTATACAACACTCTGTCTGAAGGGCACCAGCTGAAGAGCAAGTCGCAGCAATGAGATTCAAGACAAACATGCTGGTAGGAGTGTGGTGCTCAGCTGCCACACCACACACATGCCGCCCGCGACCCCACCCCAACTCCCAACCCCACCCCCGTAGCAGTCAAAAAAAAACGGTACCTCATAATCACTTTCCAAAAACTCATAAAGGATCATTTCATAGATTGCAGCTCTCAGGCGCAGGTCACCTCTGGGTAAATACTGACTGATTGCCTGGGAAGAGAAACAAACAGTGATTTGGGAGAAATGCAGCAACTGGATCAGGTCAAATCCCAGGAGAAAACAATGTTAATTTTTCACCCCAAATAGTGCATTACTTCTTGTATTATTGCTAAACCATTGAATCTGGGGCACAGAGGCTTCCAACATACAGCTGCAGAAAGAGGCAAAAATAATAATAATAATTTATCACTCAATCCACGACTGTTTGGGGGACACCGCTGTGCACAATTGGCTGCTGCATTTCGCCCACAAAATATAGTCAATTCACTTTACAATATATTCTGTGAACTGTTTTGACACATCTCAACAAAGCAGTGAGGCCTTATATCAAATGCAAGGATTATTATTATTATTATAATTATTATTGGATGTGGCTCTGGGATAAAATTATGGAGACATTGAAAGAGTAAAAGGATGTGCCTAAAAAGGTTGCAGTATTCTAATCTGCTGCCATCTGTGAAGGAGAGGACACACGCAAGTAAAAGTAATTACTTGGTAAATTGTCCCTCTGTATCCGTTTCAACAACATCAACAACATGCATATATCTAGCGCCCCTCATGCAAGGTATCGTCCCTGAGCTTTTCAAACACAAGCTGATCTCTGCAGAGCAATCCTTCCTAGAATACAAATTTACAGAATGGATGGATGCCACTGACCACTGTGACTGTGCAGACTCTCTGAAAGAACTCTTGTTTACATCCATTCTCCTACCTTTACTCTATGAACCAAAGTTGCACTTGCCAAGAGGGTTTGACTGTTCAGATAAATACTGTGGGGAGAATGTGACCCTGCAGCCCAGCAATAATGCAGGCATTTTGGTTTTATTGGGACAGAGCTTGCTGTGCTGTCTGCTGGCTAGGAACTGCTCAGTTCTGTACTGTTAGACCACTCAGAAGCCGTTATTTTAATGTGAAGCCTGACAAGTCAAAGGAAAAGCGTTGATGTAGACCTCCTTAAAAACACTGCTGTTTGTGCCTCTTGAACTGTTGAGACTACTAAATAATAGACCAGGTATTTGGTATTGAGCCTTTCATATCCAAAGAGAGTCTCAAATAGCATTTTGTGTAAAGAGTAAAGCCTGGGTATTTCGTAGATGAACACAGCAAACAAGTATCCAATTTTAGTCTTTTTGCCCTTAAACTTTTCTCAAATCTTGCTTTGATCCCTTTGCTATATATTTAATTTAAGTGATTTAATTTAATTTAGGTATCAGGTTGGCTCAGTTACAGCACTCTCGTCCCAAGTCAGAAGGTTGTGGCTTCAAGCACCATTTTGGGACTTTGAATTGATCGTTCAGGCTGCCAGACTAGTGATATGCAGGGGATAAACTGCCTTGTCAGAGGTACAGTCCTTCAGATGAGATGTTAACCCAAAGTCCAATCTGCCTATTCAGGTGGTTGTTAAAGGTCCTACACCACTATTCGCTAAGAGAAAGGAGTTCCTCCCGATGTCCTGGCCAATAATTTCCCAGATACACTGTTCATTCACTTCATGGCTGTTTGTGAGGCATTATTGTGTCCAAATTACCTGTTGCATTCGCCTACAAATACAGTCACTATATTTAAAAGTAAATGATGTGAAATGCTTTGAGATATCCTCTCGATGTGAAAGGCACTATAGCAAATACAAGGATTATTAATTAGCAGTAAGTAGGAAATTGATTGTTAGTCGATTGGTGGATCGCTCTCTGTGAGTAATTACTCGTTCGAAAAAGATTTGGGTCACTCATTCCACAACTGTTTGTGTGCCACTGCAGTGGACAACTGGCTGCTGCCTTTTGCCCACAAAATACAATCAAGTCACTTTACAATATATTCTGTGAAGCACTTTGAGACGTCTCATCGACATGATAAGGCACTATATCAAATGCAAGGATTATTATTATTATTATTATCATCATTTCCTCTTTTTTGTTCAGTTTTATTCTTTACTCTGAACTCTAGTCTTTCCCTGTTTCTTTGATGGAACAGTCCTGAGCTCGTTCTCATCTTCTGGAGCATTTGCCCTCCCTTTCTATACCTATGTTCAAATCAATTCCAATTACTGTATTTTTGCTTTGTGCCAACAGTTTAGCTATCATCTAGTTATGTTCATTTCTTCCACTTGAAAACGTTTTGCAGTTATCAGCAAATTCAATTCCCTTCTCTATAGGCCAATAACTAAAACTGTTATTGAAGTCAATTATCCCACCTCCTCTTGCACTGCTTCTGGAGAATAATGAAGAAATCCAGATTACACTACCTGTGCCCCCTTTTTCCTTAACTTGCTGACCAACCCAATCATATTTCTTTAGCACCTCAAACTATAGTAACTACAGTAAGTTCTCGCTAACTCAAACCTGGTTTAACAAGTCACTGCCACTTAAGTCATCTTGCAGTCAATATCCCGCTGCATTTATTTATGTATTTATACATGTGCCTAACCTAAGATGCCTCATCGCTGAACCCTTTTTCTTTGAGTGACGAGTTACCAGGAGTTTACTGCATTTGTCTCCGCATGTAATACCAAATTTGGATTGACCGTATCACATGGCTGCTCATCAATGATGCCATTCTCTCTGTCAATTTTGAGTGTATAATTTTGCCCTAAGGATTGTTTGACCTCAGTGCTCAACAAGAAACCTCGAGACCACAAAGACTTCTGGCTACTTTATCATTTTATCTGGTCTGATTTCAGTGGTGAAATTATCACCTCATTATCGTTGGACGTCAATGTAATACAACTGAATGAAACCATATTTCAGAAACATGACCTGTGTGTAAGTGAATGGTTATTTAATAGGAATTTAGCCCACTTGTTGCCAAACATAGTGATAAATCATCAGTGAGTAAGTAGAGCAGGAAAGTATAAATTAGAAGAAAGAACTTGGAAACACCTACATTTTTTATAGCTCTTCATGACATCAAACATTAACTCTAATGATTATTTTTGTAGACAGATGTGGAAGCCTTTTGCCCATAGCAGGTTCTGCAAACAGCTATAAGGTGAGTGACCAATTTATCCAGAGTGTGGTTCGCCAGGACAACTAGTTAATTAACTGACTATCAAGTTAATCCAAAACTGTGCTGCACCATACTCAATTGCACTAAACTCATTATCCCCATCACACCAGTTCTAGCTGCCAGTCTCCACTGGCTCACTATCACCAAACGGATCGATTTCAAGCTCCACTCACTTGTCTTCAAATCCCTTCATGCCCTGCACCTCCCTATCTCTCCGACCTGCTTACTCCCCAACCCACTCCTCCGCTTGACTGCATACAGCCTCCTTCTTGTCCCTTGTGCCCCTCCATTCCACTATTGCTTTCAAGCAGTACACCCCCAACAAAACCTGGAACACTTTCTCTATCTCTATGTCTTGCCCCCTCCTGCCCCATCTTCAGGTCGGGTCTGAAGATCGTTCTCTTCAATCATGTCTATGGTCACCTCCCTCCTCCCTCGGCTCAGTGACGTGCTCTGCCACTATCAAGCGCTCTGGGGTGCTGTATGAATGCAAATTGCTGTTGTTATTGCAAGAAAAACTGCTGCCATCCCAAATGTCAAAGTGAAAAATGATCATGTGTAATCCCTAAAATCTTATTTTTAAAACTCATATCAACATAATTTAGACTGTACAAGGTACAATAGACCATCAAATATAGTTTAACTAAAGCTAACATCATTTGAAATGATCAGTAATCTTTTTAATACTGGACAGTCATCAAAATATAGAGAAAACATTCAAATATTCAAGCCTTTCACTGGCTAACAAAGCACAGCTGGAGCTGGGAAAGTGTAGGGCTTGAAACAGCAGGAAACGATTTACTTTGGGACCGATCGGAAATCCCTAAAGTAATACAGATTGATAGGGTGGTAGGTATTTAACTGAAAAACCTGCAATACTTAGAGAAAGACATTGACATTATAGCCACTGTACGATAAATGGATTTGAAACCAAGCTGCACATATGATGAATAAATCTATAAATGTCTCCTGTTGTGACAGGACAGCAACATACTGGAAAAATGACATTATCAGACCTAGGAGAGAGAGCAAACAATAAGGAACAATGCACGCAGACTCAAAGATTAGATACATTTTAGAGAACTGGACAGTCCAGTGTTCGGTGGTAGAAACAGTTCAGTTATTACATAAAATAATTGTGGGACTGAGGAACCAAGCGAGGGAGCACATATTAAAGTTTTACAGTCGTAAAGACAGAAGATGATCATGGGGTTAATTTCACCGTCTGTATGCTCGCCCTTAGCAACATCATCTGCAAATATCAAGTCCCCCAATCACACGTACATGAACAACACCCAACTATTATTTCCTCAAACATCGATTCCAGGACTATCATCATCAACAACAACAAGATTGCATTTATAGAGCGCCTTTCACGTCGGGAGGACGTCCCAAGTCCCAAGCTGGACAGTTGGGTCGGGTCTGGTCAGGGTGAGGGGAGGGAAGGGAGGGAGCGAGGAGGGGGTAGAGAGTCGAGAGGGGAGGTGAAGACACGGTTGAAGAGAAAGGTTTTGAGACTGGCCTTGAAGGAGGAAAGGGAGGAAGCGGTGAAGGCACTGGGGGATGGAGTTCCAGAGCCTCGGGGCTGAGAGGCTGAAGGTCCGGCCACTGATGGTAGGGCGGTTGGGGCGGGGTATGTGGAGCAAACCGGAGCCAGAGGAACGGAGGGTACGGGCAGGTAAGTAGGGGGATAGTAGGTCAGAGAGGTAGGAGGGAGCAAGGCCGTGAATGGCCTTGTAGGTGAGGATGATGATCTTGAATTTGATCCTCTGGGGGATGGGGAGCCAGTGGAGGCGAGCGAGGGTGGGAGTGATGTGGTCCCGAAGCCTGGTGCGGGACAGTACACGAGCTGCAGAGTTCTGAATGACCTGCACTCATTAACTTTCTTCAGTTGAATGTCAACAAGACCGAGACTCTCCTGCTTGGTTCCCATAAGCACCTTCTTACCTCAGCTGCTTACTGCATCGATCTGTCAGGATGCTCACTTCATTTCACAAAGCCCACGTGGAACCTCAGGTTCTTGTTCAAACCATGGATCACTCGCTCGGCATTTCCTTCCCTCTCTAACATCACCCACTTCTGACACTACCTCTCCTCCCAGGCTGCTAAGACCCTCATCCACAGCTTCGTTATTCCACCACCGTTTGCCTAATTCCCCAGCTCCGCCTTCCACAGGACGCAGAATATTCAGAATTCTGCAGCCCGTGTCCTCCATCCTCTCATACCAGACTTCAGGAGTCCATTACCCCCATCCTCGCCAAGCTCCTTCGGCTCCCAATGTCCTAGTGGATTGAATTTAAGATCCTTGACCTCGTGTTCAAATCCCTCCATGGCCTTGTCCAACCACCTCAACCTCACCTTATCTCTGCAACCTCCTACAACCCTACTGCCACGACCACTCCATCTGCTCAGCTAACATTGCCCTGCTTCACGTTCCCACCGCTCCAATGGCCGAGCTCTTGCCCATTCTGTTTTGGCTCTCTGGAACCCCTTCCTGGAGTCTGCCTCCATTGCTCAATCCCGACATTTAAAGCCTGCTTCAAACTCATCTTTGTGACTGCACTTTCAATCGCCTTACTCTCCGTTTCCTCAGCTTTTCTTGTTGGCTATGTGAAACTCTGAGGCGTTCTCCATTCGCGAAAGGAACCTCATTGCTGTTGAACAGCTTGCCGAGTTGTACCCTCTGCACAAGGTTTCCCAATACTGTACAGCTGAATACATATATTTATTAAAAAATCACAGAGCGAGCACTTGCCTTGAGCTGCCCCATCTTTCTAAATCGGTACACTTCATTTTCCCAGAGATCCATGTTCTTGCCAAGTACTTTCTGACATTTCCTAGAAGACAAAGTAGTCATGAAAACAACAGCCGCCATCCACAGGTTCTCTTCAAGGCAAGTATTAAACTTACCTTGCGGCTCCATGATAATCTCCTTTCTCCACTAAATAGTCTATATAGGCTCTGCCGATATCCTAGAAAACAAAAAGCCATCAAATACATATATTGCATTATATTCTAATGAGTTAGTTTCCAACAATCATATTATACCCGGTATTACGTTTTGGGGAAACGTAATACTGGGTATAATATTACGTTTTAATATTATATTAAATAATCTGACATTGGCAGAAAACACTTTGCAGTATCCAACCCTGACAGATTTTCCCATATGTACGCCAACCTATACGTGGAAATTTTCCTGAGTCTGGAATGGAACACATATTTTCCACGTTTGCCTATAATACGGATACAGATGCAGTTAAAAAAAAAACACATACTCCAGGGGAACCTTTAAGTCAAAATACAAGAAGTGCCCTCAACATATTATTGATAAATGTCCTTGAAAAATTTCAAAAGAAATTTCACAATAAAATTCTGAAGCACTTTATTGAAAAAAACAATAAAAACACAATAGATGATTCTAGAAATACAATATTGTCACAACTTTACAATCGATTGGCTTATCTATCATTGAATGCCCTCTCTGTAGCCCCATTCTTAGTTACTACAAATCTCAGCTGCACCTGGATTCGCTCCTTCTGACTTTATTCTGCAGGTTGCACCCATTATGTAGGTGCAAACCACCTAACTGAGGCTAACCTCGGCCAACAATAAAACACCAGGAAGTCGTTCTTCGGCCTCCACAAAATAAGGGCAGAAACATATCAGCAATCATACTAGTTTGTTTTCCAATTAAAAATAATCTGTGAATTCCAAATATACGAATCATAAATTTAAATATGTATGGACATACACAGATGTTCGCTTATAAAAATGCATAGTTACTACACTTTACAGTATATCCTGTGAAGCTCTTTATTCCTACTGACTTAAAAGATGCAATGTCAAATGAAAGGATTATTACTTTAAAAGTAGATGGTAAAAAAGTCAAATGCAAAACAGAAAACAATTGCAAAATTGTACATTTTCTTAATAATACTGAAAATAATGATGCAGATCTCTCAATCCCGTTCTGTAGTTCAGATCTGCTGTTCTGATGATTTCCCCCACTAGCTTCTCCAGATAAACAGTTTCAGAGGTTTACCAACAAGAAAGAGTCGTTGATCTTGGGACATCCTCCCAGCATGAAAGGTACACCAGCCATCTCCGCTCCCTTAAAGCACAGGCGCGTTCCGCTGAGCGCACCTGGCTTAAATCTAACCTAATGGTCCATCGGCAGATCTGGTTGGACCATATCAAGTCCTACCACTCCACCCTCGCCTCCGCTAAATCGTCGTTCTACTCAAAGGCAATCTTGGAGGCTAAGGACAACCCCAGGCTCCTCCTCTCCATCACGAACTGGCTCCTCCGGCCACCCTCTTACGCCTCGCCCATCCTCACCTCAAATGCCAACTGCGAGGCGATGCTGGACTTCCTCGAATCCAAAGTCAAGGGAATCCACTCAGCTACCTCTGCATCTGCTACCCCCTCCCCATCTCCTCATCCCACCCCAGCCCCTACCCATCCCTCCCTCCACACCTTTGAACCTGTATTCACCTCCTCTCTCATCACTGCCATAACCCGTATGAAACCGACCACCTGCCCCCTTGACGCCATTCCTACCCCTCTCCTTAACTCTCAGTTCACCTCCTTGCCGCTCTACTCACTGACATAGTAAACCTCTCCTTGTCCTCTGGCACTGTTCCCACCCCATTAAAAACTGCTGTCATCGCTCCTATTCTTTAAAAAGCCCTCCTTTGGACCCTTCTCTATTCCATAACTACCGCCCCATCTCCAACCTCTCTTTCTTATCCAAGGTCCTGGAATGAGTTGTTGCTTCTCAGCTTTGCACCTTCCTCTCCCGCCACTCCCTTCTTGAACCCCTCCCATCACGTTTCCGTGCCGCCCACAGCACAGAAACAGCCATATTCAAAGTGACAAATAACATTCTGTCCATCTGCGACCAGGGCTCCCTCTGCCTCCTGTCCTCCTTGACCTCTCTGCTGCCTTCGACACCGTCAACCACTCTATCCTCATCCACCAACTCTCCTCTCACCTCAACCTTTCACGGCTTTGTCATTGACTGGTTCAGATCATACCTCTCACACCGCCTGCACACCATCTCCACAAACGGCTTCTCCTCTAGTCCCCGGACCGTCTCGTGCAGTGTGCTCAGGGCTCCGTCCTTGGTCCCCTCCTCTTCAGTATCTATATGCTCCCTCTTGGTGGCATCATCCACAAACACAAACATGTATGTGGATGACACCCTATATGACACCCTACCTCTATGCCTCCACCCTTGACTCCAGGACCACTGCTGACCTGACAGAATGTCTGTCAGACGTCAAGTCCTGGATGAGAACTAACTTTCTTCAGTTGAACGTCAACAAGACCGAGGCTCTCCTGATTGGCTCCCGTCAGCGCCTCCACACCTCAGGCGCTGATAACATCACCATCCACAGATGCACACTTCACCTCACTAAGTCAGTCCAGAACCTTGGGGTCTTGTTCGATCCTCAACTATCCTTTCTACCGCACATCTGTGCCATGACCCGCTTTCCCTTCCCCCACCTCTTGCAATGTCGCCCAGCTCCGCCACAGTCTCACACCGCAGGCTGCCAAAACCCTCATATACGTTTTCATTACATCGAGGCTCGACTATGCAAACTAACTGCTTGTCGGCCTCCCCAACTTCTCCTTCCACGGGCTGCAGATCATCCAGAACTCTGCAGCCCGTGGCCTCTCCTGCACCAGGATCCGCGACCCTATCACCTCCATCCTTGCCCAACTCCACTGGCTTCCCATCACACAGAGGATACAGTTCAAGATCCTGGTCCTCACCTTCAAAGCCCTCCAAAGCCTTGCTCCCCACTACCTCTGCGACCTCCTAACCCCCTACCAACCTGCCCGCTCCCTCCGCTCAACGGACTCCTGCCTGTTTCACATCCCCCTGCCTTGCTAGTCCCACTAGTGGCGGGCGGGCCTTCAGCAGCTCTGGCCCCACCTTCTGGAACTACATCCCGCAATCCCTCCACCTCGCCTCCTCGCTTGCCACCTTCAAGACCCATCTCAAGACCCTCCTCTTTGACCATGCTTTTGATCTCCCTACTTTCCAGGCCCTCCACTCTCCCCCACCCCAACTCCCAGCTCGGGTCCATAACTCTATCTATCCAGCGCCTTGTGACGTCCTCCCTACGTGAAAGGCGCTATACAAATGTAATTTTGTTGTTGTTGTTGCTATATTAATGCAAATTTGTATTGTATCTTTTAACAAATCGGAGTGAGTTTCAGGGAAACTCAAATGATTCGTTCAATTCGAGGTGCAGAAGAACTTGGTCATTATCTTTGAAAAAATCTTACTCTAAACATAATCAGACCCGAGTGTTAATACTTTGGAAGTACACACACTCATACGCACACACAGAGAAGCATGAAGACTTTGGGATTTTAAAGTACAGTAGAACCTCACTAACCGGTCACTCAAGTGACTGGGTAAAAGGGACCTAAAGAGTGAGGTGACCTGATTACTATAACAGGTCGGGTTATATACTGAGGTAATGTTAAGGGCATTGGTAATGTTAAGGGCGTTGGTAACGGGCAACAATAATAAAAATAATAATCCTTGAATTTGATATAGCGCTTTTCACATCTTCGAGACGTCTCAAAGCGCTTCACAGAATATACTGTAAAGTGAATTGACCACATTTTTGTGGGCGAAACGCAGCAGCCAACACACAGCAGTGTGCCAAAAACAGTCGTGGATTGAAGTGATCAAATTATTATTGTTTTTTTTTTGAAGGATTATTATCAGGGGTGTGGAGTAAGGAAACTTTCCCAAGATTTCACCCTGTAAGTGTGATGAATGTTCAACAACCGTACTTTGCAATCTCATTAAAATAAAGGCACTGTCACACATAAAACAAAAGCTGTCATATATTCAGCCATCCTTTTAAGAATGCATCCAACTTATGTTCTGCCAATGCCATAGATCACAGCTAACGGTCTGACTTTTTCCCACTGTTTTTGGTTAAGTCCACTCTCTCACGTAAGGACAACTCCTTCCATGGTGGCATGTTTACAGCACTTACCAAGAATTGGCTACAGGAGCTCAGGTTAGGCCACAGGCACCGGGCGAAGTTGATTTTCCGTTTGCGCCGCTTCCAGAATCCCAACACTCCCTGCGTGGCGCATGCGCAACCAGAGCCCACTGCACCCGCAGTAGCAGAGCTGAGGAAACAGCGCGAGAAGCCCGAGGCCTAGCGCACTGTGTACTGTACAGGTTAGTAGTAGGGGGGTGTTTGTACTGTGAAAATGTGCCCGCAATTGTGAGGTGGTTGTGAGGTGACCGCAAACCGGGTTTCAACTGTAGTTACAAGTATAACTTCCAAGTCCTCTAGCTCAATCCACCAGAGATTTTCTCTCTCAATATACGTTATTCTTAATATTTAAATCGAGTATGCAATGAAAAACAGATCTCCACTGCTATTGTCCACTCTGATAAACTCCCATCCCGAAATCCTAAAATACCAGTATTCGGTGGATAATCAAGGAAGAGAATGAAATCAAGATTCCACCATAATGCCACCAGCATGCATTCTTACTCACCAGCATGTTGTGCCTTTTTATATTCTTCTGACTGATTTCAGCAGCCATCATAGCCTCCTAAAAACAAGATAAAGAAATCTGTAGATTTCCCCAAAACAAAAGCTTTACAACATTAACATACAAAGAGAGTGTAAGAGAAGGATACCTACTTCATACTTCTTTTTTCCAAGTAGCCACTCAATGTGGTCATCTTGATCCCGTTCCTTGGCGACAACAATGTCCTTCGGACTGATGATATAAAACAGCGACTCGCCCTCAGAGTGCTCTGCATCAAGAGTAAGAAGGTCATTTTTCATTTCGTAAATAGTCTGCTTTACACTGAGGCCCAAATCCAAGTTTATTTGGAACCAGAAAGTAAAATTTGCATTTTTACTGTGAATCATCACATCGAAACATCTCACAAGAAATTACTGTGAGGTTACGTGACTGTATTTAATTATTGTATTATATTAAACACGACTGTATGTGGGACATTGCTGTGCACAATTGGCTGCTGTGTTTCGCCCATAAAATATACAGTCAATTCCCTTTGCAGTGAAGTGCTTTGAGACGTCTCAACAACATGATCAGGGACTATATCAAATGCAAGGATTATTATTATTATTTGTAGGTAAAACATGACAGACGGGACTTGAAGGGGCAAGAGAGGGGGTGAGGCAGAGGGATTGCGGGATAGAATCCCAGCGTATGGGGGAAGAGATGCTGAATGCCCGACTGGCAGTAGGGCAGGAAGTGCGGGGGGCCTGAAGTAGGCCGGTGTCCGTCGAGTGGAGGGAGCGGACAGGCAGATTTGGGGTTAGGAGGTCGCAGAGGCAGAGGATGTTTCAAACGCTTCACTAATTTACTATAAAGTGCAGTGACAGTGTATTTTGTGGGCAATAAGCTCTAAGTGTATGCAATGTGCCAAAACACAATGAAGATATATGAAGTGAATGAGACTGGAATTTTGTGAGATTGGTCATTCTTATACCTTGGAGCTGCAAGAGGACACAACTCATCATCTTTGTGAGAAACGCTGGCTCAGACAGAGTTAGGTATGAACAGAAAGGTTTCAGAGAATTAGAAGTTGAAATATTTGCTAGTACGTTTTGCCAGAGTTCAAATACAAAGGTTATCCATGTCCAGAAATCTGAGGCATTTTCTGTATGCTTAAATGCCTATAAAATGTAAACTATAAAATATCCAGAAAAACATGCTTAAATTATGGGTTGCCCCAAAACAAACTACATTTACAGTAAATTCAACTCACTGTAAATCTGTGCAAAATTTATAAAGTTATATGATGTGCACCAAAAAAACTACCATCCCAATAATCAGTTAGGGTTCATATGAGGAATCACTCTGAAGAATGTATTATATTCTTTTAAAAACCACAGGGCCAACCCTTCACCTACTTTACAATTCATCTGAACATTATATTATAGAAACACATTTCCATTTTGGTTTTCAATTATTCATAATCACTAAATATAAACCTCATGTCTTTCAAGCCTGCCACATAACACTCCAGGTTCAATAAGTCTTTTCCATTTATTTTAAATAATTTACGTTCGTTGAGACGGTAGCACATTGGAGGCTAAAACACACTGATGTCAAATGGAATTCCATAATTAAAGTGGATGTGGATGCACATCACTCAGGCTCAAGGGATTTCCACTTGCAAACTCCACTTTTGGTGCATTGTACCCACAAGATCAAGAGAGGTTTGGATGAAGAAGGTCCTTTGATCTCATCCTTCCAGAATAGCCCTCCCTGTTGTCCTCTCATCATAGCATCAAGCTGTTTATTTAACGATTCCAGTGTCCTTAAATAAGGAATCCCATTGGAAATTGTTGCATTTTAGACTTCTAAGGCAATTAATAATAAAGGGAATTGACCACTTAGACAGCTATCAACTTTTCCCTCTGGTCGAGAAATCCAAAACAGGGACACAAATTTCAAAAATTACAATTAACCGTGTTAGAAAACCTGGGTGTGCAGTTTTGTGCACCTTATGACAGAAATTTGACTTTGGAGAGAATGCATTGTAGGTTCATAGAAATCATATAGTGGGGGCATGGTGGGGGGTGGGGGGGAGTTGCTAATCTATAATGAAAGGCTGGACAGGTTGGAAATTAATCTGTAGAGCCAAGGATGATTGATTTGATCAAAGTATTTAGAATTATGAAAGGGTTTGACAAAAACATTGAATGATTTTTCCCCTTGGTGGATCAATCAGGATGACATGGGCTGTAAATTAGGGCAAAACGGTTTAGGAATGAGTTGAGGGGAAAAAAAATCTTCTTATAAAGAGCAATAAGAAACTGGAATGCACAGTAGAGAAAGTCATAGATGACAAATCAGTTGAGGGATTTAGGGGAGAGAGAGATGGATAGATATTATATCCTGATTATTAGGTATAAGAATGAAAAACTATTTATATTAAGAAAAACACAACAAAGCCAGAATGTTAGAACTCCAATTCAACAGCAGTATATTTAGGAGCCTTCCAATGGTCCCCTAGTGACTTGGCAATGGGGCCACATCTTGGTGGGAACACGCATAAGTTGGTGGAATTTTAGATGTTCACATATAAACTGCCATGGCATTTGTGGTTCCGAATGAGATATTAGTTATTCATTATAGTGATGGACATTTTCAAACTGACCTGGGAAGCATTCTGGCTGTGAGTTAAGAATGATGCATCATGAGAATGTGTATATGCTTTTGCTAAATTTTACTCATGTGAACCCTATAGTTGTAGACATTTTAATCCTTTTTATTCTGTTAATTTGATTATTATGCAGTTTTATTACATGTTTAGTATTTGTACTGTTATACCTTTAAATATAAGATTGACCCACTTGTGTTTAACGGCTGTAATACAATTAAAAATCAAATGTCTTTTGTGCTCCTCTCTCTCTCTTCTCCCCTCCGACTCCTGCCCCCATAAAGCTGACCTGAGGGAGCAGATATTGGTCCATTCCTCACCTAAACGGTAATCTCTACATTCATTTTCCTGGAAGCTTCGAACAGACAGAGCATCAGAGGAGACTTCCTCATACGAATCTGGCAAATGCTGAACGATGTCAAGCCGGGGTCGTGAACAATGCTCTTTGTCCTTTTTAATAAAGAAATGATCAATGATCAATTTACTCTTATACACATTTATACATTATCTCAATCTCTAATTTTTCCCACCAGTTCCTGGATTTTAAAGATTCCCAATACTATTCCAGACCAACAATCCCCAAAGAAACTTGGTCATTCACTTCATGGCTGTTTAACAGACATTGATGTACGCAAATTCACTTCCACCATAGGCCACGAGCACTTTGAGACATCCTTGTGATGTGGAAGACCCTATATCAAATGCAAGCATAATAATATCAAATAGAATTTGCAATAATTAGGGAAAATACTAATTTTCTTAAGTTCCAAAGTTTTATTACATTTGGTAATGTCGCTACAAACAATTAAATCAGCATCTCAAGATGGGAGCGTTTTGTGAACTGTAACTGAAACTCACATTAATAATCCTTGCATTTGATATATCTCCTGATCAGATCGTTGAACCATCACAAAGAGATTCACAAGATTTACTGTAAAGAATAGTGATTGTATTTGCAGATGAACACAACAGCAAGGTGCCACAAACAACCATGAAGTGAATGACCAATTTGATCAGGAGGATTGTTGGCCAGGACACCAAGAGAAATTCCTTTCTTTTTTCAAATAGTGTCATATCTTAACATATTTCACATCATCTGCTGATTATCTAAACAGAAGTATAACAGTCATTTGAAATATGCAGTTGTACTTTTGAAAGCAAACAAAACACAGTGGAAACTTACAGGTAAGGTCAGAAAACAAAGTGAGGAATTTTGACACATGAGGAGGCTGAGGTCACTAGAGTTTGCATTACTGTACTATTTAATATGTTGCAGTGAAAAAGAGTGACACACCATAGTGAGTTGATCAGATTAGTTGGGTACCTTAAGGTAAGTTTCCATTAGAATACAGATTCATTGTTTGGGCCTTAATACTCCACAAGATTAATTTTACTGCTTCGGAAGCAGTGTTGGAGCAAATTAATGCATTTTCAGAAGTCTTTTGGAGAGAAAATGGATGATCCAACATTAAGACAATTGACCAAACATGTCATCATTACAGCGGTTTATAATGAGAAGTAAGGGGAAAGTCTTGATCTCATCATTTGACAACTAAATTATTTTCTGTAAAGTCTTAAGACTCAGCGCTCAGAGAAGCCTTTTTTTTTGGTCAGCCGGATGGCTGTCATATGCGGAAACCCATCACCATGCTTAAGAGTATCCAAACCAAGCTGAGATTTCCATGCATCCCAACTACACATGGAAATCCCAGAGATAGATTGTTGGAATGGAATATGCACTCTTTCCATGAAAGGATGCATCCTGCTCACCTAATTCAGAAAAGTATTAGGCCCAGGTTCGCAAGAGCCAAGGCTTGGGGACCTCAGAGTGTGAGTTAGGGTACTGCTGGAGTCTAACCAGCTAAAACCACATAGCTTCCATTGATATTGCTGTCCGGCAAGCTTTCCCACTGCTTGCCCAGCTAGGACCACCCTACCTGTTAGGGCTTTGGCTTGCAGGGTTAAAAGGAGCTGAGCGGGATGACTCCCCTGCCCCCGGTGACTGATCGCTCCAAGGTAACCCCGCTTAAGAAGATGCGAGATGCTATCCCTTATGAAGGCAGCTATAAACATGCAAGTTGTTGTTAAGAGTTAGAGTTTCCATGATTTCCCCAAACTAGAAAAGCATTAAGCAACATCACATCCCTTATTAACTTGACAGGTTTGAGCCATTGTTTCCTTACCGCTTGTTCAAACACCTCCTTCACATAATACAAGAGGACCAGATGCTCACCAAGTGGTGCAATTCCACTAATGTAAAACTCTGACTCAAAGACAGAAACTGCAGAAAGAGGGAAAACAGTCTATTAGCTTTTAATGAAATAAAACACAAAGAGTCAATTTTGCAGCATTTCTTAACAGATATCTTAATGAGGAAATCCAAGTGGTCATCCCTTCCATACTGAAGTGTCACACATCTTACTCTGACTCGAGGAAACCCCACTCCAAACACAGTAGAGTTAAGGTGTCCCTGCGAGTCGACATCTCAGATGTCTGGATCCACTAAGACCTCTGTTAAACTAGGTTGATCTTAACTGGTTTCACTGTAATATATAATAGTGTTGAGATATCTCTGATGTGGATCATTAACCTTATACTGTTTTGGTACTGCTGGAAGAAGAATTACAGTAGTCCTGGAGGGTAGTGGTTAAAGCACTCGCTTTGCAAGCAAGAGGACCCGGGTTCAATTCCCAGGCAGGGCAAAACCATAGGCAGTTTCCTTACTACACACACCTCCGTTTACCTAGCAGTAAGTAGGAATCCAGTTGTTAGTCGATTGGCGGATCGCTTTGCAAGTGTAAATAATCCCTTTAAAAATAATAATAATTTGTCACTCAATCCAAGACTATTTGTGGGACACTGCTGTGTGCAATTGGCTGCCGACCTTTGCCCACAAAATATACAGTCAATTCATCTTACAGGATATTATTAGTATATTCTGGGTAGAGTTTTGAAACATCTCAATGATGTTATAAGAAATGCCACAAAATATTATTATTATTATGCACTCTATCAAATTCAAGGATTATTATTGTTATTTATTATGATTATTGACAGTTCCTCTGTAAAGTAAGTCAAAACCTATTTGAACTGGACTAGAGCACAATTTACACTTCTTCCAACACATTTCCTGTAGAGGGCACTGCAACTTCACCCTTCACGTTTGCAATTCTGAAAAGCAATTGACACAAATCCCCTTCAGTAGTGTCTTTCAGCAGGATCAGAAGTAGTAACTTCAATTTGGTGAGTTCCTACCACTGTAAATTATGTCGCATTTAGGAAGCTTTTGTGTTTACAGTTTGTAAATAGAAAATTTCACAGCAGTTTTACAGTTGTCTGCAGTACAAATATGCCACACAATGGCAATATAATTAACAGATATACACAGCCTTCCAACCCTTCAGGATCTTCCTCTTGGGTTAAATGAGTATCTTCTACACCAGTAGTGTAGTGCTTAGCGTGCTCACCTAGCAAAAGAGAGGGCCTGGGTTACTCCACATCTCTTTGTTGACCTAACAGTAAGTGGGAACTTGGTAGTCAATTGGCGGATAACAATAATAATCCTTGCATTTCAATAATAATCCTTGCGCCTTATCATGTCTTCAAAAGGTCTCAAAGCGCTTCACAGAATATACTGTAAAGTGAATAGACTGTATATTTTGTTGGCAAAATGTGGCAGCTAATTGCACACAGCAGTGCCCCACAAACAATCGTGGATTGAGTGACCAAATTATTACTTTCGCTTCAAAAAAAAAACAAATAAAATAATAATTTGGTCACTCAATCTACGACTGTGTGTTTGTGTGGCCGAACGGCGTAACTAAATTGCACGCAGCAAAGTCCCCAAAACAGCCGTGAAGTGAATAACCAATTTGCTTTGCGGGGATGTTGGCCAGAACATCAGGAAAAAAATCACTTCTAATAATAATAATAATCCTTGCATTTGATATAGCGCTTTCCACATCGGGAGGACGTCCCAAAGCGCTTCACAGAACACACTGTAAAGTGAATTGACTGTATATTTTTTGTGGGCGAACGCGGCAGCCAATTGCGCACAGCAATGTCCCACAAACAGTCGTAGATTGAAAATGACCAATTTATTATTGTTTTTGGTTTTGGAGGGATTATTATTAGGCGTGTGGAGTAAGGAAACTTGCCCAAGGTTTCACCCTCTGCCTGGAATTGAACTCAGGTCTCTCACTTGCAAAGCGAGTGCTCTAACCACTGAGCTACAGGACTCCACAAAAATCACTTCTCTTTTCAAATAGTGCCATGTGAGCTTTCACATCCATCTGAATAGACAGGACCTCCATTTAACATCTCAGTCCACAATACTGCACTGGAATACCAGCTTAGACTGTATGAGTTCCAGGCCCCAACGGAGGGCTTGAACCGACAACCTTCTGACTCAGTGGTGAAAGTGCTACCAACTGCTGACAGCTAATTATACCAAAAATATCTCAATGGCTGTTTGGCCTATAATGCACTTGGAACTCAAGACTTCTAACTTAAATTCCAAAGAATGTAAAGGTTTGAAAGGGAAGGAACAGAGGGGATTCCCCTTCTTTTTCAAAAAAGAAAATTTGTATTTTTAACCTAATGTCAAAATATCTCAAAGGTTTACAATAATTACTATTGAATGTAATGGCTGTGGAGATAGGCAAACACGTATTCATTTTGCACACAGTAAGGTACCACAAACAGCCATGAGATGAATGACCAACCTATACAATGGAGTATCAACCTCAACTCCAGTCCTGACTTGGGGCTTGAACTCAAAACCTTTTGATGCAGAAGTAAAGAGTACTGTTAGATGAGCCACAATGCCACGAAATGGGAAGGATACAGAAGGGAAAGTTTCTCATTTTTGTAGTCAGTCCTAGCAGGTGCGAGCACAAAGCCATGACAGTCAAGTCATGGTTGGATGGAGGCATCTCAAGTATTGCTCACAGTAACTCGCGCTCGAATGCACTTTTACACAATGTTTATGGTCACTGGGGCCAAACAAGTTTAGCAGTTTATATTTTTGCTAAAAAAAAGTAAACTGACACATTGAAAGTAACTTTAGAGAAGAAAAACATTACTGAAGAGACCAGCTTAAACCTAGAAATGACAATGCTGATGGTAACAATGAACTGAACAGTGTATTAGTCCAGAGCAGCACCCACACATGTTAAGGTTTTTTTTGGCACAGCCATGACATCAAGCATCTTAAATGCAATGTGATTCTCCCAGATGACATCCTCATCTTATTTCTGCAATGCGTGGAGCACACTGAATAGAGACGAATTATATTTAAAGATGCACTTAATACTCCACCAGGAACCGTACGTCCACAAAATAAACCCCTTCACCACTGAGACCATCACAATTAATTCACGCCAACACTGCTCAGACTTGTGGCGCCTCGGCTCTTGCAGAAGAACCGCTACAACACATCAGGGAGATATTCTTGCTATAAATTAAACTGCTCAGCATTCAGTTTGCTCACTTGTGTACATGACTTCTTGCTGTCACATGCTCTGACATTTTAGGATCTTTTTGAAAAGGCCCATTACAACAAACGCTGCAGTGTCATTTTACATTTACAGTAACCTCTTCCCTTGGCCATAGGACAACATAATGTAGAAATAAAATAAAATTCTGAAGAATTAACTGTGAACTGTTGGCTGTAAAGTGCTGCCCCTTTTCCCAGACTTGACTGGCCTTCAAGCTCCCCTGTCCTCACTGTGTAAGGTTATCAAATGCAAGGATTATTTATTTATTGTAAGTTTAATGGCTGGACCACTGGGCCGAGAGCTTCGTTTCTAAGAAACAAATACCATAGAGATCAGTTCTTTTTCCTCAGATGCAGATAACTATGGCTGTGTCTTTGGTGATGTGAATGAAAATGTATGTTTAACTCATTGCCATCCTTCCAACTCTGTATTTAATAAAATAATAATTCTTGTATTTTGACATAGCACCTTCAAAATGTCAACATTTTGTAAGTCAATGTGGTAGATGATTTGTACACAAACTGCTTCACAAACAGTCATGAGATGAGTGACCCATTTTATCATGGGTATTGTTGGCCAGGGCACTTGGAAAAACTCTTAATTTGCTTTTTTTCTTAATATAGTGCCACAGGATCTTTAAAATCCACTTGAATAGACAGGAACGCAGTTTAATGTTTCTTTCAAAGGACTGCACCTTTGGCAATGCAGTGCTCACGCAGCACTATACTGGGTTGGAGTGGCTGCCTAGACTGTGAGCACAAAGTCTGTCAGTGGCACAATTTATATAAAATATTACTGGAATAAATTGTCGTGTTTGCAACATCATAGGGACAAGGAGGAAGAAATGTTGAATCGTACAATACTGTTAACTCTATACAAGCATAAGGCCTCCAGAAGTGTGCTGGACATTTTTGTATGAAACTGATACTGTAAACACATACATGTTGCAGCAGGCATACTGAAGTACAGTCAAGAGAAAAGACACATCCAGGTAAGGAACATCAAAAGATCCAACTTGTCTCTTCCTTCACCTACTTCAAGCTCTGCCTCAAGAACTTTCTTTTTGTCCACACTTTCCGCCATCGTTCCTCCCTGCACACCTTCTCTTTCCTCAACCCTTCGACACCCACCCACTCCCATCCCCCCTGCAGCTCAGGTACAAACCTTAGAGAGTCCAACGGCTTGGAAGGTCCCCCACCCAGTAAAAGGCGCTACATGAATGTAAGTTTGTATTATAAGAGAAGCCAAGTCAAAGTGAAACTACACATTATATTTATATATTATTATATCTTAATTATTATTATTATTAGACTTCTGTAGCAAAGATTTAAAAAAAAACTATACTTGCATGTCAAAAAAAGGCTTGTTGGAAGATCCAGCAGAGCGAGGACTGGCCAGTGATGGGGCCATTGCCTCACAAAGCTCTGTTGTATTACAGTATTTCAGAACACAATAATAGAGATTAGTGTGGAGAATTCTCACCTATTTCAACATAACGAGTGGGCAAGTCTCTCACGTCAGTGGGATCTCGCTGTTTCACCACGCAGACCTGAAAAGAGAACGAGGCACCTTACACATCCAATGCAGCAGATCTGACAGTCAGCTCGAGCTCTTTTACCTGAAGCCACTGCCTCAAATGGAGGTGCAGGCACTGGAGTGTCGCTCATTGTGCTGTCACATCTTATTTCACCCGCAAAATACATAGCCAATCCACTTTACAATGTGTGTATATATATATAAAATGTATACATATATTATTTATATTTAAGGATTATTATTATCTTTTACATTGAAAATCCCAGTGATTCGTGGAGTTTCTGTACCACGCATGCCTGTAGCTATGCAGTCGTCAACATTCCACATGTATACCACTTCTCAATCACTACCCAAACAGGTCAGGAGCTAAGCCTGAATATCAAGTCCTGGTTCCACTCCATTATCGGGAATCTAGTTAGAAGTTCCGTCGACTCATGGGAACTCGGTGTGGATCAGAGTTCCTGTGGGATGTTGTGACAATTTGGTTACCAAAAGGAACCCCAGATCACTTATTCAGGAATACAATTAATAAACCACATTCGGTATTTGTTATAATGTAGTTATATCCCAAATTGTTACAGAAAACTGATTTTCAAAACATCTTGTTTGTGTACATTGCACTGGGAGACCAACCAGTAATATGAGAAAGTGCAGTAGTTCACATATAACAATCTTGCCAACTGTGGAAGTGAATGAATCCATCAAAACTGAGCAGCGGGAATAGTGGAATGAATAAATTGAAATATATTAAAGCAACCGTCCCAGTTTATTTTTCCATTTACAGATTCTAAGTAACTTGGATAAAAGAAAAACAAGAATCTAAAATGCTACAAATAAATTTATAATGAGAGACTTGCGATTTCGGAAAGGTTCATTCTTGGAAAACCACATTAACCTTTTACTGGCAAAAATAATGTTTGTTAAAAACAATTTTTCTTGCAGAATTTGCATTAAGAAATGGTGAAAGGTTTCCTTGAAAATGCTTTGCACTGACCACTAAAAAAAATTACAATTGTCATCTATGGGACATTATTGAAATGAAGGGGTTGCGTATATGTGGGGGGGAGGGGAGAAAAAGAAAATATATTTCTCTTCAACTTGAAATCTGCACATGCTGCATACACTGTCACCAGCTACGGGAGCAGACTTGCTCCCAAGACTCTTCCAATGATGCTCTGCATTGGCCATTGGGAGATACACAAGAGAGGGCAGAGGTGATGTGCCCTTCAATTATCTGCCCCTTCCCCTGTGGAGGAAGTGTCTGAACTCCACAAAGCAAGCCCCCTCAACGTCCTCAGATCTGCTATTCAAAGCACAAACCCACATCCTACCATTCCATGGCAGAGGAGCTCCAGGGTATTGCTCTGAATATGTGAGTGTGTCAAACAATAAGGAATTTACACATACACAAAAAAAAATCAGCAATCCAAAGATTAGAAGCAGCTGCTAAAAAGAGATGCAGAAGCATTTAAAGGAACTGACTATTCTACGATGCAAAAGAATATTTTGCACCATAATCTTATTTTTTTTTTAACGGGGATGGGAGGAATAGTCAATTTTATACCCTTGTCATCCTTATTGAGTGATCTGTACCTTAACAGATGTTCCCCAGCCAATAATGAGCGTCACATTGTCCTTCCAGCACAGGCTGCAGAGATACATGTCAGGACGGAGGCTTGTATTGTCTCGAGCCACGGTTGTGATTCGCTGCTTTGAGCTGGTGTCGTATATTTTCACTCCCTGAAGAAAGTAGAATGTACTTGAATGGCGTGAGAGAGAATCAAATGAAGAAAGCAAGTCAACAGTAAAGGGAGATTCTGTGGGGAAGAAACGACTGTAATGTGAAGCATCTAACCTCGTTGCATTTCACAATTTTAATTTTTTTAAACAAGTGATAACTTAATTTGCAGCCCTGAGTTTGGGATCTGTAATATCTCCACCCATGTTATTGTAGAAATGGCCAGATCTGTGTTAAGAAGAAATGGTCACTTTCCAAGTCATCTTAATGCCATTTCCTGTTTTGTGCGCATGTGCGAAGCACTGTTGGTGATGACTTGATGACTTGGAAGCTGTTTTTTTCAGTGCGGGAAGCTGAAATCGTCGACTTTCGGATCATTCAGCCGCCACGAACATCATGTCCTGCTTTGCGCATGCATAGCAAAGCAGGAAGTGATGTCGATAGCAACTTAATGGACGTTAGCCATTTTGGCATCAAAAGTGAGTAGGTGCTCAGGAAGCGAGTGGGGTCATATTCAATGCACTGGATTCCACAATGCACCCGCATTACAAGCAAATTTGTGCTTAGGCTGAAGTATATTATAAGAGGACCTCGTTGTACAAAGACAAACATTTTCTGGACAGCAGTGCACCAGTACCCTACAGCCTGACGTTTCAGATTTTAAAAAATGGTCACTGAGCTCCAAGTCATACAGTTTGTACATTTACAGGCCAACAAGGGCAGAGGTAACTTATTTTAAAGCAGACACCAACATGTTGCTTTGCTCACACCCGCCAATGCTGTGGACCCAAGGGGCCAAGTACTTCATATTAAAGAAACGTTCGCCTTCAAGTCACAATATTAACGATTGTTTTGAATAATGGACACATGAAGTATTTGCCCGATATTTGTACCTATTTCTTAAATGTATGTCCGTACAGACATTACAGTAAAACCTCAGGACATATGCTTCCTCGGAACAAAGGAATGCACAGAGGAGAACAAACAATGAGATGCATTAACCCTTCCCAGTCTAAGCTGTGACATTCACAAAAGGATGGGAAACAATAATTGTGACGAACTTGCGATATTCACAAAACAACCAGTTGGGATTTATTTTACAGAATGACCCATTCATTTCCCTCCAAATAAACCAGTTCAGAAAGGCAAGTCAGGGGAACACAGAGCGACAGATAGAATCATACAAGAATATAGCTGCATCCACACAGGCATCGGCCTTTTGTCCTTACAGGGAATCTCTTCCCGTGCCAAAATAGGTACTTGTTTGTGCAAAAGATTTTTCTCCTGACGAGTGCAAATGGCTATCTTCTACCTGCACAGTAACACCTGCCTAAAGATTATTCAAAATATATTCCTGAATTGAATTGTTCACTTTGTTTTGATCCATGTTCAGGAGTGATTGGAGTTAATTACCACACTGTTCGACCACGCAATCAGGTTTCCTCTCCATTTGACATTGGTTATCGAGCCTTCTCCTTCATGTAATGTAGAGGTTTTCCATCGGCTCAGCCAATTCCGTTCATACAATTGCAACTTAGAGAAAAGGGGGGAATGAGAGAATCAAAGGCAAACACGAGTCAAGATAAAAAAAAATCCTTGCATTTGATATAATGCTTTCCACATTTTCTAGACCTCTCAAAGCGCTTCACAGAATATACTGTAAGCTGAATTCACTATATATTTGTGGGCGAAACGTGGCAGCCAATTGTGCTCAGCAGTGACCCACAAACAGTCGTGGATTGAAGTGACCAATTTATTATTTATTTTTTTCTCTTGAGGGATTATTATCAACAACAACAACTTGGATTTATATAGCGCCCTCCATGCCGGACGGTGTCTCAGAGCGCTTCACAGTAACGGATCCCGGGGCCGAGTCAGCGGGAGGGGGGGGAAGGTGACCAAAGACACGGTCGAAAAGAAAGACGTGTGGAGTAAGGAAACTTATCAGACGTGTGGAGATACGTCTCAGACGTGTGGAGTCAGGAAACTTGCACAAGGTTTTGCCCTGCCAGGAATCGAACCCAGGTCTCTCGTTTGCGAAGCAAGCGCTCTAACCACCGAGCTACAGGACTCCTACAATTTCTATCATACAATTCAAATACAATTCAAAATGCAATTCTGCAGCACTTCTATGCATCTCAGTTGTGAAGCACCTGTGTAAAATTAACCCTTGATCCATATACGAGTAGAGATACATTTGCATAATAGAAAAGAGGCATAATAACTACATGTCTGCAGATATCACCATCGCTTTAAATGTGACGTTTCAACAATTTAAAATTAAAATTGTTTTGTATGTGTTCACTTCTACTTTCCAACTGCCTTTTCGACATTGTTTTTTGTAAATCAGCAGTCATTTGAATGGTTCTTCCAGGATTACAGTGGCTGTAAATCCATTCGTTTTCAGCACACGTGTTGCTCATTTGAGTCCTCTATTCCTTATCAGGCCATGACGCTTGACCGAATAGGAAAAAAGTTGGTGCCAAAACAGCATAAATAACAAACAGAGGAGGGCAGTATAATAAAGCTTTACAGAGCTGACATCCACAAACCCAAAGCTGTTCAAAGATATTTGGAAGCACTAATATGAAGAAAAAGCGAGGAAATTTGAGTAGAAAGATAATGTCATGATCTGTAAAATGGCCTCGATGGGTTGAATGTTCCTGAATAAAAGCCTTAAAATTAAGCAACAACATCTGTATGCTAATGGTGTTCATAGTGGTAGGTACAAATTTTATGCCAATGAATGGACTGCACGTCTAATACCGTCTTTAAACTTCCGTCAAATGTGCATTACGAACAAGGATTGAGGCGGCTCCTTTTGTGTCAGGCAGTTGTCAAATCAAATGCATGGATTATTGTAACTACTGTTGTAATTCTGGTGCTCAGTTTCTGATAGTTGAGTGGAATGGGAGAAAGGTGTGTCAAGCTTACCTTGTTCCCTCCTGTGATGAACTGCTTGCTGCTGGATCTACCAAACTGCGGGTTCAGAGCCACTATCTGAAATAAAATATAACAAAACAAATCAGCGAAGTTATGCACAATGATACACACAGCTGCCGAATCATTTCAAGGGGAACTTGTTGAGATCCAAGTTGTGATACTCACAAAATCTGTCAGAGATTTCCAAAAGGTAGCAAAGTGCAGAAAAAAAAGCTTAGATAGTGAAACAGATGGGCACAAGTATATGACGTTGTGCTCTATTGACCTTTCAAACGTCAGAAGTAACAGTCAGCACTTTTCATCCCTTTTAGAATTAACATAATGTCAGAGTAAATAAATGTTCATGGGGTTTATTTCTTTGAATCTTATTTACACAGCTCCCCCTGCAGTCATGGAATGCCAGGTACAGAAATAGGATAATCAGCTCAACAAGTCTGCTATTGTCTTCCCTCAGCATGAGCCACCTCGATTAACCGCACTCTCCTCCTCGCTCTTCATACCCTATCATTTTTTGTTGCATCTGTCCAATTCTGGATGATAAATAATTGATGCACTGTGCTTGAACTCCTGTGCACCTTCAGGTTAGTGGAGAAAAGATGCACGGCAAATGGATGAGCTCCTGCATCAGATCCGTTCTATAGAGTAAGGTAGTGACGGGTTTCAAATGATCAGTACCTTTATTCGCAGATCTGAGCTTTGCTCCACCTCTGCTATGCACTTGCCACATTACCAAATTTTGAATAGGGACAGAATGGGGAAACGAGCGAGTGGAAAAAAAAATGCCATCCAATGGAACTTTCACTAAAGTGGTTGAGTGGAACGCAGAATGGAACAAGCCTTTATAGATCAAGAACTTTGTTGATCTGCACAGATTTCCTCCTAATAGATCATGTGGACTGAAAACAAAAAAGGTCCCCCCCCCTCATTGGATGCATTCAGAAGCAAAGCTGAGGTCTGATTTGAGGTGGTTTTAACAGGAATTCACACTAACACATGGGACCTCCACTTGGGAAGTGCTCAGAAACTCTACCTTGTGTTATAAGCACTTATATTGTATAAATGCAAACTGTTGTTGAAAGTAGACCTTATTCCCCACAGGGCACCATGATTTTCATCTGTGTAAAGGGAAGAGTCCCTGTTTGCACAACTTGGAATTTGTTATTAAGAAAATCAGGTAAGACAAATACTGCATATAGGACCTTTGCTTTGCTTCCAATGAGAAGAATGGTGAGGAAAGTGACTGGAATCCGCCTACATGCCCAATTACTGTTACATAACTCATAGGAGGAGATTGATGCTTACACAATTTTCTGGAATTAATCATTGAATTATAACTGTTTTCTACTACTACATAGTGGTTGCAAATTAGCTCTGCTTGAATAGACTTTCAGCTTTTCACAAAATTGAAAATCGATAACCTCTGACTCGCCTTGGGGGCACAGCATTGAACGTTGAACATGTCCCTTCCTCCCCTCTCTCTCTCCCCGGGATTGCCCTTCCAATATAATAATCCTTGCATTTGATAGAGCTTTTCACATCTTCTCGACATCTCAAAACGCTTCACAGAATATGCTGTAAAGTGAATTGACCGTATATTTGTGGGTGAAGCGCGGCAGCCAATTGCGCACAGCAGTGTCCCACAAACAGTCGTGGATTGAAAATGACCAATTTTATTATTGTTTTGTTTTGGAGGGATTATTATTAGGCGTGTGGAGTAAGGAAACTTGCCCAAGGTTTCACCCTGCCTGGAATTGAACCCAGGTGTCTCACTTGCAAGGCGAGTACTCTAACCACTGAGCCACAGGACTCCACATGTCCACAATCCACAATGAGCTCCCAATATCCACAGGAAGACAGGCAAACCTGGAAGGCTTAACCAACACATTTACTTTCACTCAGTCAGTCATGCACGGCACCTGGCATAGGGAGAAACATGCAAATAGGGATGGGGAGAAAGCAAGAGAAATGTTCACGAAATACTGTTCATCGATCAAATTCTCATGCAGTAAACATGCTAAAGTCTTTTCTTTTCGAAAGAATCAAGCGGTTATAAAATGAACCATTAACTGTTGACCTTCTGTTGAAGGTAAAGTGTGGTGTCACCTATGTTGGACACAAACCCAAATGTGCTCTATAAGCATCTTGCACAAACGTGTTCAGACAATAATGGCTCAGTTTTTACCAATGTTGAGTCCACAGTAGTAAAACAACTATTAAATGCCAATCACACTGTGGGCAGAGGTGAGATGGCTGAAATTAGAAAAAATCACTTTGGTGCTAACAAAGGGAGGATGATATCATCGCTGAAGTTGGAGATAAGGGATGTTATTGGAACAGAGAGAAAGGTTCTAAACAATGCAGCCCTTGATGTGTAAGTGCAAGATGCTAATTCTAACCCATAAACATCAACAACTTGAATTTATATAGCTCTTTTCATGCAGGATGGCATCTGAGTGGTTAACAGTAGCATAGTTTTATGCAGAATGGCTAAGTTTGATTATGCATTCCACTGAATTCCATTCTCAAGCACCAATACACTTCATCGATATTAAATAAAACTATTAATGTTGACATCACTAGGATATTGACAAAAATGAATTACTGAGCACAATAGTGTAAGGATACAAAATGATAACAGTAAATCAAGTGCTCTGAGACATTATCCTATGTGAAGCTCGCTAAATAAATTAATGACTATTATTATTATGGTCAATGCCAAAATCTCCCTTCCACTGGATCTAATACTCGAGGGGTAGAAGCTCCTATGGAGTATAAAGACCCATGTGGACTGAATGGTCGTTGGGCTGAACGTCTATTTCTGTGCTGTAGCCTTCTAGGCAATTCTGTTTCAGCGCTGAAACTATTCAATTTCTGAAACACTTACTTTGATAGGACAGTCAAAGTTTTCGTGAAATCCTTCTCTCGTGTACAATCCAAACACCTGGACCTGTTGGCACAGAACAGCAGAATCACATGCAAGTCCCAGTTAACACTTCCATCATCACATCACTTGAGACATTGAGTTTGTGAAATCAGAACCCAAAAGACTGTGGAAATTGTACTATTTATTTATACTTTAGTTTGGCAAATTAAAGCACATTAAAAAATGATTTTTTTTAAAAAAACGCATTGACAACAACAACAAAATTACATTTGTCTAGCGCCTTTCACATCAAGCGGATGTTAAATATAGGTCACCATTTGCTGAAGTTGAGCACTTCTGTTTTGGTGGTTCAACCACCAGCCTTATCTGAACACACTGAATGTTGATCTCTGCTATGCAAGAATATCTTTGGAAACCATTAGGGAAATACAACTTTAACACAGTTCAAGAGCACTTCAAGTGACCCACAGAATATCCTTGCTATCAGTTTTTTTTTGTCAGCCGAGTGTCTGACACATGTGTGGAAACCCATCACCTTGCTTAAGAGTATCCAAACCAAGCTGAGAATTCCATGCATCCCACTTACAAATGGAAATCCCAGAGTTAAATTGTTGGAATGGAATGCTTACTTTCCCTGGAGGGATGCATCCTGCTTACCTAATTCCGGAAGATATTAGGCACAGGTTGGCAAGAGCCAAGGGCTCAGGGACCCCAGAATATGTGTTGGGATACTTCTGGAGTCTAACCAGCGAAAACTGCATAGCTTGTCATTGATATTGCTCTCTCCCATTGCTTGTTCAGCTAGGATCACCCTTAGGGCTTTGGCTTTGCAGGGTTAACAGGAACTGAGTCAGATAACTCCCTGCCTCCAGTGACTGGTCTGCCCTTCTAGGTCCTGCCAATGAGCCACGTTGGCTGTGCTGTCATCAGCAGTGCCCTGGAATACTGCGGACCTGCCTGGTTCAGGAGCCGGCCTACCGAGGCCACCACAGAGGGCGAGTTCAATTCCCCTCCCCCCAAGAAGGATAGTCACTAGTTGGTCGTTAAGATTCCTGAATGCTGGAGTCGGTGATGTGATAGGGAAAACTGTTCAAACACTTCCCAAGCTAGTCTGTGCAACAAAAATTGACTATACTTTATAAACATTTCCAAAGGGAAGATAACTGGAATTTTATAGACTATAGACCGTACATCAAACCCAAAATTCAATTCCAGTATTGAAAACATGCTGCATTGAGGAGAAATGTTACTGTCGATTACACAAGCAGAAATTAATGTTTACACTGAAATAAAAAAACCATGGCCTCGTCCCACACTTCTCCTGTGACCTCAACCGTATTGCCTGGGCTACTCCCTTTGCTCAGCGAACACTTGCCTGCTTCATGCCCCTTGTCCCATCTGCCTCACCGTTGGTGGGTGAGATGTCAGCCACTTTGCCCTTGCTCACTGGAGTACATCCTGGAATCTCTTACTCATTTTCTCCCCACTTTTAAAGCTCACCTCAAGACTTACATCTTTGATGCTACTTTTGATCATCTTCTCCCCCCACCCCCACACCATCTTCAGCTTGCACCCCCCACCCCTCTCTCCCTGCTTGAGTGCCCAGCGAGTTGTGTAACACACTATGAGACATCCTCCTGACATGAAAGGCCCGATATAAACAAATTGTATTTTTATTGGAAATCCTTTTTTTAAAAAGGAGAAAATTGGTGGATTATTTTGCCCTTGAGTCCAGTTATACAGAAATCTATTTTGCAGCGCTTCATACAATATTTAATTTTGATGTTTATTTTAATTCATTTAATTACCTTCGCCGATGTTTCAATAACCAGGTTTCAAAACCATTCTCTCCATACAACCTACTGCAGGCACACTGATACAGTGAAGAATACAAGCTTGAGACCTTTAGACATCAAAGGATATATCAGGCATCTGGAGTCTTGTACTATACCCTGAGGTTTTTGTAATCTAGATGTTGAGATTAATGAACCACTCAAGGTCTGGTTGTTTTCTTTGTAACTAAGGGGGTCAAAGCATTCCACAAAACAAAAATCGAAGTCTGAATTGCTGTCTGTGCAATTGAGTTGTTGACAATTTTAAACTCTCTGAAGCCCCATTTATACTGCACAATCAGCTGAAATTCAACCCAATCTTTGTGTTCAATCAATGCGTAAAGTTTGGTACAAACTAGGTTTAAGGCACTCCTCAAACTCTAGAAAGAATGGAATTAAAAATCTCCAAAACCAAGACCAGCCAGACAGCCATATTACGGAGGCAGAAACTAAATGAAATGTACACAAAAAAATACCAGAAGCCCTTTGTTGAGAGTCTCCCGTGTGATATTTTATCAAAGGTTTTTTGAACTTCAGATAAATTATGCTGTCGGTATCCGACTCAATCTCCGAAGCACTTGAGACATATAAGCTATGGGGCAGGGGTAGTTGTTGCTGTACCAAATTAAGATGTCACATTCTCAAATGAGGCTTATCAGACAAGATCTACCTCTACTGAAGTCATGCTGCCTGTCGTGTAGTAATGCTTCCATTAGTTTTCCAATCATTGGGGTCAAGCAAATAGATCTATAGTTACCAGATACAGCTTGATAACCTTTCTTAAATAGGGAAAAAAAAGCATTTGGATCTGGCCTGGCACAACTTACTCAGTGTTCATTATTTCCTTAAAATAGTCCTATAGTGCTTGAAAAATTTCCTTCCTCACTTCAGATGCCTGGGGTGGAAATACGTGGGGAGGCTTACTAAAAAACAAAAGCCAGTTTAACTCACACCCAGGTCCTTTTCCTCTCCATTTAATGTACATCCCTGATGCATACATTTGCTTCCTATGCTTTACTCCTATTAATCTACACGAAAAATGCCACTTTTATTGGAACTGCTTAATCTGTCCAAGTTTCTTCAATATCATTTACTTTCAGACATTAGTTATAGCTCAGTGTAAAATATTACAACAAATTCTTTCCTTTAATTCATTTATAAATAGTTTAAACAGCAGGAGACTCCGAGACAACCCTCTCAAGATCAGCTCGTGACTGATGCAGATTTTCTCCCATTTGTTTTCACCTCTGCTTCCAATTGAGTTTTTAATTCAGCTATTAATGCCGTGAGTTATGAACTCTGATCTTCTTTAGAAGACACAAATGTGGAATTTGTCAACTACCTTCTGATACTTCAGTAAATGGTATTACTTTCAACCACTAGTTACTTCCTCAAAGAAAGACAAGAGATTCATAAAGCTTAACCCAGTTCTGGTTTTCATCAACAGAGTTCGATAAAGAAAATATGTGGAGGGGACATGGAAAAGTGTACAGGGTTCAAAAGACTAAAACATCACAGCAGCTATGGGGATTTTGTAGGTCATTGCAGGTAAGTGTTTAATTTCTCTGTGTTAGAACCAAACTGAATGTTTAAAGCAATCCATACTAAAGATACTTGTATGTATTTTGGCAATATTGAACTGTAAGCTCAATGTAGGCTCAAACGCTGAAATCAAATGATGAGAGAAAAGTACATAAACATCTAGAGATAATAATGCTTTTTAATAGGATTTGATTGAACTCCATCAGTTTGCAGCAACTTGGGTGTGCTGGCCTGTCTAACTCCAAAAGCAGTACTAATCCTATCAACCAATAGTTGGGAACAACAACAAAATTACATTTATATAGCACATTTCACATCGGAACGATGGCCCAAGGTGCTGGACAGTTAAAGGATTTGGAATCAAGAGAGGTGGAGGGTAGGAAGGTGGTTGAAAGCATGGTCAAAGAGGAAGGTCTTGAAACAGATCTTGAAGAAGGCAAGGGAGGTGGACATGAAGCAGGCCAGCTCCTGCCTCATCTCTGGAAGTTCATTCCTATTACCTAGTGACAATGCATTTAGTTTAAATACACTTCACTCACAATGTTCAGGTGTCAAATGTTGCTGTTGAAACAAATCTAGGTCAAGTTCATTAGGAAAGCAACCAGTTCAAAACTAAATAACAAAAAGTGGTTAAGTGGTTTCAGAACTGATACAATTGAGCAGCTATGGTCTGCAATCCACAAATGGATTCTCTGGAACAGGTCATGTTTTACTTTAGTGCCTGCCTCTTTTCAAGGGTTTTTTAACACTTCTTTTTCTTCTGCTGATACTCCATAGGCACCAGTCCCTGTCCGGTAACTCTCCAAATTACCACTTTTCATGATGAACATCAGCAGCAGGCTATTCGAGTCCAGAGGGGAGCCGTAGCCAAGTTTGATCCAGTCCTCAGTTAATGTCCACAAGCACATTTCAGCTGAATCTCTGCACAGTGTTCAGGAGCAGGAACTTTTGATTTGCCTCTCCCTGCCCCAGACCAATAGAGCCAATTGTAACAACTTTATTGCTGCCCCCAAATGATGTTGCTTGCTGAAAGAATCTGTGCATGGAATCTGGGACCTTCCCAGGACTATTTAGCTCTGCTACTCATTGGATAAGTCACTGCAATTGGGAAGCCAATTCGATTAATTCTAATTATAAAAATATACTCCCTGAAACATAGTGCTTAACAAATGAGGTATTCCACAAAAATACAGTCAATTCACTTTACAGTATATTCTGTGAAGCGTTTTGAGACGTCTCGTCTGGAAAACGTGAAAAGCGCTATATCAAATGCAAGGATTATTATTATTGTTATGTGTATTACAAGTGCTTAGAGCAATAGATTTCCTGAATTATAAATGTCGAGGGTAAACTTCAGTCACTGTTGTGAAGACTGTGTCTTTAGTCATACATTTGAATCCTTTGATCCGTTTATCGGATTTGAATTCTCTTCAAAGGATCCAAAATGAAACACGTACAGTGAGAAATCTTTAAAAANGATCTTTTGTTAGAGAGAAAAAAGTTCTTTGAAGGTACTGACACGTTCAAAATACAAGTAGATAATGAGACTGAATCACAGAGCATGTTCTTTCTATTGCAATCTTTGCGATTTCCAATACCAACTCTTAGCCACTGGGAGGCACTTGCTGCACATTATACTGAACACTTTCCTCTGCGCCACACCACACAGTTTTAAAGACGATACTATGCTGTAGAATTCAGAAAGGTTAACAGATCCATCTTACACTATCTGTGGTATTTTAAGGTTCCAGCGATCCCGTATCTATGGGGACTCCAGATACTTGATGAATCCTGACTGAAATATGGATGCAGGCAGAAAATGTGAAACTACAGTAACCTCCAGTACTTTAGTGCTGTTTGTTTGTGGCTTAAATGGATGCTTAGCTTCTACAATTCCCACCAAGTTTCATGGAGAAAACACAATAATCTCATAGCTTCAAAATTTGGCAGCCTCTAATAAAAAAAACTCAACGATATCACAAGCTAAGGTTTGTATTTTAACTTCTCTGAAAAATAAATCTCAGGAGCTTGAATCTCACATCTACCCACAATACTAGATGCCACAAGCTAATTCACTATATTCTATTTTTCCAAGTTGGCATTTTTAATTCTTCACAATTGTGTTAAGACATATGTACAGAAGCAAATGAAACACGCTTTAACAATAGTCTGGGCTAAAACCCTTTTATTTAGCTTTAGAGATGCCACTAGATAGGTATTACATAGCAATAGATCAATAAAGTGTTTCTGGGATTGGAATTCCAGTTTCCAAGTTAAGAATCCATGATTTGTGAGCGCCATAATTCTGTCTAAATGGGTCCAAAATTGTTTTCATTAGATTCACATACAAGATTTCAGAAAAGCCATTCCAGTACAGTCAACTTAACTCAACTAAATTGCAGCAAGTTAAAATGCACTTAGAATTTGTTCACATTCGATTCACTGGATTCATAAATACTTAATTTCAGATGAATCAATGAAACTTATGAATCCACTTCTTAGAATTTATGTACAAACATGTGGAAGATGGTAGGGTTACATTAAATATGTACTTGCACCCTTATAGAATATGTCTACTTTGAGATATTGCAACTTTTATACTAGTGTGATCAACTCATGTTGTGGAAAATAGGAGTGCCTTCAGAGATACCCAACCAAACATTAACTAAAATTACAAATACTGTACCTCCAACCTGTCCTTTGTACAGTTAAGTTCCTGAAATTCTGTACACTAAACTTTTTTGTATAAAACAAACATCTGAAAACTTCAGAGTGAGAGATAGCAAGTTATAAATACTACAACATGCATCAAAGCTTTCGTAACACAAGTGAAAGCATACTAAGAGAAGAGAACCAGCTTCCTGGATTCCCCACTCCATGTGTGTTTCCGAGTGCTGCACAGGAAAATGTAGCAACAGATTCTTGGCAAAGTGAAAATTATTGGAAAATAAACTGTAGGCACTGAATTATTATATGAAACAAAATACAGCGTATATTATAAACTCCTACCTTGCCGTCTTCTGTACAGATACCAACATGCTCCCCACTTTCATCCAGGCTTATCTGATTCACCTTCACAGAGCTCTGAAATTCAGTAATCATGTAGAAAACGTCAGTGATTGCTGTTTTATTCACATATATTTAGTTATCCATTAGATGGCTTCTCTGCGTATTTGTGTAATAAAGACGCAGGGAAAATAAAGGCAATGGAAACATTTTCAGAATGTTTTCCAATATTTAACAAAGCAGACTTCTGATATATTATTAACCACAATAAGTTGGTGTACAAGTGCCAGCATAGATTGGCTGTGCGTGCACCCTGCAATTTAAAAAAAAATTCAGCTGGCCTTTTTTCTTACCTGATTCTATTATTACATTCTCTCTATTTTGCTTCTATCTGCCTTGTGATTCAGGTGGAAAATAAAGGGACTGCTCCCACTACTTGTAGATATTCTTAAGAAAGGCAGTGTGTTTCTCTCAGTTATCTTGGCTATATTCCCCTTCTCATCCCAAATTCAATGGATTGCCCACTCATCTCGTGAATCTGTTGGCACAAATTTAGCCTCTGCATATACAATAACAATCCTTGCATCTGATATACTGCTTTATCACATTGTTAAAATGTCTCAAAGCTCTTCCCACGTTTACTGTAAATTATATTTGTACTTGAAGGCAAATACAATGGGCGCTCAGCAGTCAGCAATGACCAACACACAGCCATGAAGTGGATGATCAATTTTACTGAGGGGGAGGGGAATTGCTGGCTTAGGACACAGTGAGTAACTCCCTTATCTTTTTGAATCGTGCCATTGGATTTATAATGTCCATGAAGAGGCAGATGGGATGTCTGTTTTACATCTCACTTGAAGGACGGCACCTCTAATAATGTGCTCTGCCTTCCTTCACCTCCGTAACATCGCCCGACTCCGCCACTACATCACCCCTCAGGCCGCTGAAACTCTTGTTCATGCCTTCATCACCTCCAGGCTCGACTATGCAAATGCCCTGTTTGTCGGCTTTCCCAACTCCTCCCTCCACAGGCTGCAGATAATCCAAAACTCTGCAGCCCGTGTCCTCTCACGCACCAAACTCCATGACCCCATCTCCCCCACTTTCGCCCGACTCCACTGGCTCCCTTCAGATCCTGGTCCTCACATACAAAGTCCTCCATGGCCTCGCCTCACCCTACCTCTGTGACCTCCTAACCCCCTACCAACCCGCCCGTTCCCTCCGCTCAGCCGGCTCTGGCCTGCTTCACGTCCCCAAACCCACCCGCCCCACCACTGGCAGGAGAGCCTTCAGCCACTCTGCCCCCAACCTCTGGAATTCCATCCCCCAATCACTCCGCCTCGCTCCTCCTTAGCCTCTTTCAAGTCCTGCCTCAAGACCCTCCTCTTCGACCATGCCATCGGCCACCCCCCTTCCCCTCCCCTACCCCAACCCCAGCTCGGGTCTGAAATGCTGTCCTCTGTCCAGCGCCTTGGGACATCCTCCCGACGTGAACGGCGCTATCCAAATGTAACCTTGTTGTTGTTGTTGCATACAACTACCCTTCAAACTCTAAATCTGGGCAATCACCAACCTCACCTTTGCACATCGCTCACCTCAGCCATTACCTCTCCTCCAAGGCTACCACCTTCGTCACCTCCAGGTTCGACTATTCCAATCCCCCCTCACCCGACTCCCCCACTATTCCCCAATAAAGTTGCAGACCATCTGGAACTACAGCCCATGATCTCTCCCACACAAGGCTCCATGAGTCCATTGCCCCCTATTCTCACTTGGCTCCCCATCCACCATTGAATACAATTCAAAATTCTTGTCCTCATTTTCAAATGCCGCTAAGGTCTTGCTCCACCTCTGTAACTTCCGGAACATCGCCAGACTACGGCACTACCTCACCCCTCACGCTGCTGAAACCCTAGTTCACGCCTTTGTCACCTCAAGGCTGGACTATGGGAACTCTCTCCTCGTCGGCCTTCCCGCCACCTCCCTCCACAAGCTGCAGGTCATTCAGAACTCTGCAGCTCGTGTACTGCCCCGCACCAGGCTTCGGGACCACATCACTCCCACCCTCGCTCGCCTCCACTGGCTCCCCATCCCCCAGAGGATTGATTTCAAGATCCTCATCCTCACCTACAAGGCCATTCACGGCCTTGCTCCCTCCTACCTCTCCAACCTACTATCCCCCTACCTACCTGCCCGTACCCTCCGTTCCTCTGGCTCCAGTCTGCTCCACGTCCCCCGCCCCAACCGCCCTACCATCGGTGGTCGGGCCTTCAGCCTCTCAGCCCCAGGCTCTGGAACTCCATCCCCCAGTGCCTTCGCCGCTTCCTCCCTTTCCTCCTTCAAGGCCGGTCTCAAAACCTTTCTCTTTGACCGAGCCTTCAGCTCCCCTCTCGACTCGCTTCCCCCTCCTCGCTCCCTCCCTTCCCTCCCTTACCCTGACCATTTCCCCCCTCCTCGCTCCCTCCCTTCCCTCCCCTTACCCTGACCATTTCCCCCCTCCTCGCTCCCTCCCTTCCCTCCCCTCACCCTGACCATTTCCCCCCTGCTCGGGTCCTGACCCAACTGTGCAGCGCCTTGGGACGTCCTCCTGACGTGAAAGGCGCTTTATAAATGGAATCTTGTTGTTGTTGTTGTTGTTTCCTCTGTAAGCCACTCCCTCCGCACAGCAAACAGCAGCCTGCTTCAAGCTCCTGCTTGTTCTGGCTTACCACTGGTAACAGCCATTTTGCACCCTCTCCTTGTCTCTTCTCTCCCCCCCACCCATCTTCAAAGCCCGTCTTAAGACCAATCTCTTTGACTGTGCTTCCTGCCATCTTTCCCTTCCCCTCCATCGCTTCCCCCTCTAGAAACTCAGGTGCTCATTCAGTTGTATGAAACACTTTGAAATGTCCTCCCTAAGTGAAAGGCATTGTATAAATGTAAATTATTGTTACTGTATAACATTGAATTAACCTCTAATCAATTATGTCTTGTAAAGCACTTTCAGATGTTGATTTCAAGTGAAAGGCCCTGTTAAATGCAAGTTCTTATAATAATCGCAATCACAGCCTGGAAAAAAAATATTGTAGTGAGTATAAACCCAAGCCACAAAAACTAGCACTCCTAAAATTATTTTTAGTTTACAAAAACACTGATTATATATACATTAGGAAGTTCCTGCATTTGATCCACAGGTACCTGGGGCAGTATTGGAGATACTAGAAATGGCTTTAGCATCTTTGGGTTTTGAGGGTGCAAAAAAATATCAATTAGGGTTCCTCTTCCTGATCACCATCAAATGAAAAGGGATCTCCCAAGGCTTTGTGTGAGTGTTTGGCAAGCTATCTGATTGTGTGTGGAACAAAAGCCATCACAGCCTAGCCCGATCCAATCCTCAACCAACATCCACAAACACACACACACAGAAAGGACCCCAAGCTGGTTTTTACACCACTAAACTGATGGCACAACTCAGCTTTTCCCACCCAATTGCTTAGCCTTTTCACACATCCTGCCTCATCGGCCATCTTATAAATAACATTGCTCACTGTGTTGTACATCCCAAACTTAGAAACTACAGTACTTAGCAACAGTCATACATCCTCCATTTAAATATATTGCATTTTTTAAAAAAATATATAAGAATATTCAAACGGACAACAGAACTGGGTTTAGTTTTTATTTATAGATGTTTTGCCAGATGGTGCTTGAACTCAACATAAATTTTAATCATATATGACATGAATAGTATATGGTTACCATACATCACTGGTAATCTATTTATAATGCTGCCACTTTAATTCCTGAGAACACATGATCAGGTAGAACAGTCTGTCAATGAAGGAAATTTACATTACTTTAGCTCTTTCATCAGTCAACCACAGTCTGTTTGACAATGAAGGAAATTCTAAAATATACAATGGACATTTCTGCACTTCTGAAATCTAGTTTAGCTCAGTTGGCAGCATTCTCATCTCTGGATCAGAAAGTTGTGGTCTAGGCTGATGTTCCAGTACAATACTAGGATAGCACTGCGTTGGCAGAGGTGCCTTCCTATAAAAGTGTTGGCCTACATTTGCCTATAATCCTTATATCATATCATATGTGGAATCCTGTAGCTTAATGGTTAGAGCACTCGCCTTGCAAGCGAGAGGACCTGGGTTTCGATTCCTGGTAGGGCAAAACATTGGGCAAGTTTCCTTACTCCACATGAAGTAATAATCCCTCCAAAAAAAAAAATTTATTTTGTCACTCAATCAAGACTGTTTGTGGACACTGCTGTGCGCAATTGGCTGCCGCATTTCACCCACAAAGTAGAGTTGATTCACTTGACAGTATATTCTGTGAAGCACTGAAGACATGATAAGGCGTTATATCAAATGCAAGGATTATTATTATAACATACGCAGTTACTACACTTTACAAATCCTGTGAAGCGCTTTGAGATGTCCCCCTGACATGAAAGATGCTGTATCAAATGTTAGGAATGTTATTAATATCACCATCCTTCAGATAAGGTTCTGTCTGCATGTTCACATGGACACAAAAGCAAAGTTAGTTTCTCTCACCTTGCTGATGGAAACACCTGCCATATTTATCCACAAAATACTGTCATTACACTTAAGTGCCCATGAAACCCTTGGAGACATTTTGGTACGACAAAGTGCTATAAAAAAATTCTCTTTCAAGTGGGACGTTTCCCCTGTGTTATACAAAATGTTTCCTGTGCACAGGCCAAGGACCTTCCATCCTCCATTTGCTCCAGAATGAAATGTATTCGAATCAAGTTCATTCTGATTAAATGATAAAATCTTCAAACACGTTTGTAAACGACTATCGAACCTGTCCGTGTGAACAACTATTGAATTTGTCCTTGTAGGGTCTGGTTTTGTCACACCAGAAAGATGTCCATGGCTGTGGGGTGTGAATGCTCAGCACAGACTGGAGAACATGCAATCGATGCGAGGGCTCATGCAGCAAGTGAGGAGCATTGAACTTTGAATACTACCAACACTGCAGAGGTTTCAGCTCACATCTAAACAAGGAGTGGTAGCTGGAAAGAGAATTATCACAACAAATTGCACCATGTTATCCAC